CAATACTCTTCACCAATAACAAGATGGCTATTGTTCGTCCTGTAAAATGCATACTGTAAAAGAGTACACATAGTGGAATGGAATGCGGGTTCTAATTCTCTTAACGCCACCACAATTGGTAAAGAAAAGTCAATCATTTATTACATTATCTTATAATTAATGTGATACCGCTGATGAACTGAGAGCAAGTGATACATTCACAAGTCCTAAAACACTTATAAACATGAGTAGATAAGAAATTAAAAATTTTAAAACACTTATTAATTCGGTTAGATTAAAGAATTTTACTCAAAATTCTAAAATATTTGGATCGTGGAATGTAAAATACAATGGAGAAAATTCAACCCAAGCAAGTTTCAAGGAGGGAGAGAGTCCAAACATTTTAGCATAAACAATTCTAAGCCCAAGTTCAACAAAGGAAGCTCAAGCCAATCAAGAAAGAAGCCAAAGTATTGAAGTTGTCCAATCCGGCCCAACTCTCATTCCAAAAGGGAAGATCTACATGAACCCTTATTGGATCAATTTGCAAGATTCTCAATGCCCAAAACTCTTACAACCTTATTAGTATACTTAATTAATAATTAGGATCATTGATCAAGTTTTGATATAATAAAGTAAACTTATTTCAATTAATGGGGAGTTTAAAGACATAGATCCTAGAATTAAGGAATTATGTCTCTTTTGAATTAAATAGGCATGATATTGTTTTTTGAATGAATGACTTGTAATATTAGTTTATTTTATTTTATTTTAATGTATTTGTCAATTACTTGTTTACTTTTGTATTTGCCTATATAAAGGCAATTATTTTCATTGTAACATTTAGCTTATGAAATATATAAAAATTGATTTTATCCATTTGAGAGAACTTGTGTGTTATTGAGTGTGTATTTTTTATCCAAGTCTTGGCAAGAGGATTTGGTGGTAAATCAATTCAGGTTGATAGAACAATCTTTTATGCTTAAAGTGTTTATACTTGTCTTGGTCTGAAAATTGTAAGCCAGTGACTTGAACTCCAATATTTGTGTTGGTCGAATTTAGCTTGGATTTGTGTTGTGTTGGAATTTGGATCAGCAAGACACGTATATTGGAATTCTACTGTATATATATATATATATAAACACAACCACAAAGTAGGGCCTGTGTCAACCCATAGAGCAACTTTTAAGAGCCCACTTAGCAGGTGCAATCTTTTTGGGTTTAGTGTGTTGGGCTTGTACAAGTAGAAACTTAAGCCAGGATAGTTTATTGAATCAGCAGGGCTCCATAGTGTAATGAGCCATAAGATAGTGGGCCTTGGGCTAGTTGTGTTGAGGGCGTTCTGGCACAAGTAACCCAATGTATATGTAACGAAAGACCATCGTTTTCAGTTTAAATTTCACCACNTGACTATTGAGCAACTCAGAGATTTTCTGCAACCTTCTTGTATTTCCAACAACCGGCAGTGTTATTAATGCTGTCTATCATATGACATTTCATTGCTCCTTCCTATCACTATTATGTCAAAACTCTTCACCAATAACAAGATCTCTACTGCTTGTCCTGTAAAATGCATACTGTAAAAGAGTACACATAGTGGAATGGAATGTGGGTTCTAATTCTCTTAACGCCACCACATTTGGTAAAGAAAAGTCAATCATTTATTACATTATCTTATAATTAATGTGATACCGCAGATAAACTGATAGCAAGTGATACCTTTACCAGTACTAAAACACAGTAATTATGAGAAGATAAAAAATTACAAGTTCTAAAATACATGCTAATTCGGTTAGATTGAAGAATTTTACTCAAAGTTATAAAACATTTGGATTGTGTAATGTGAAATGCAATAGAGAAAATTCGACCCAAACAAGTTCTAAGGAGTGAGAGAGTCTAAATATTTCAGTCCAAACTATTCCAAGCCCAAGCTCAACAAGGGAAACTCAAACCCACCAAGAAAGAAGTCAAAGTGTTGAAGTTGTCCAATCTGACCCAAGTCTCATTCCAAAAGGAAAGATCTACATAAACCCTTATTGGATCTATTTGCAAGATTCTCAAGGTCCAAAACTCTTACACCCTTATTAATAGACTTAATTATGATCATTGATCAAAGTTTGATCTAATAAAGTGACCTTATTTCAATTAACGAGAGGTTAAAGACATATATCATAAAATTAGGGAATCATGTCTCTTTTATATTAAATATGTATGGTCTCGCTTTTTGAATGAATGACTTGTAATATTAGTTAATTTTATTTCATTTTAATGTATTTGTCAATTACTTGTTTACCTTTGTATTTGCCTATATAAAGACAACTATTTTCATTATAACATTTAGCTTATGAAATATATGAAAATTAATTTTATCCATTTGATAGAACTTATGTGTTATTGAATGTACATTTTTTATCCAAGTCTTGGCAGGAGGATTTGGTGATGAATCAATTCAGATTGGTGGAACAATCTTTTATGCTTAAAGTTTTTCTACTTGTCTTGGTCTAAAAATTGCAAGTAAGTGACTTGAACTCCAATATTTGTGTTGGCCGAATTTAGCTTGGATTTGTGTTGTGTTGTGTTGGAATTGGATGATTGGATCAGCGAGACACGTATATTGGAATTCTACTGTGTGTATGTACATATATATAACCACAACCACAAAGTAGGGCCTGTGTGTACCCATAGAGCAACTTTTAAGAGCCCACTTAGCAGGTGCAATCTCTTTGGGTTTAGTGTGTTGGGCTTGTACAAGTAGAAACTTAAGCCAGGATAGTTTATTGAATCAGCAGGGCTCCATAGTGTAATGAGCCATGGGGCTTGTATAGTAAAGGTAGTGGGCCTAGAGCTATAGGCTTTCATATTGTGTTGAGGGCGTTCTGGCACAAGTAACCCAATGTTATCTGTAACGAAAGACCATCGTTTTCAGTTTAAATTTCACCACAACAACTGATTATAGCATACCAAATTCAGCACCAGAAAGCAATATGACAGGTGATTAGATATCATATTTGACAGTGGAATAAACTCTTGAATTGGGATAGCTCTTCCATCATTGCAAATTTACAATCTGCATTCAAAAGTATGGAGGACCCATATCAATGTTTAGGTTAATGACCCATCAGATGTAATGTTATTGATGTTACGGCCAATAAAATAAAACATTTGTGATAGTACGTGGACCACGCTCACATTCTGGCGTACTGAAAAAAGCATTCTCATAGTGGAATAGTAACCAAACCAAACAAGCCATATCTCTTCTTTAACAAATTTTGTCCATTCAAAGCATAATCCTATCGCCATGAATCTGCCATTATCAAACCGTCCAACTTTTTTGAGAGACGATAGCGAATCTACCCATCTAAATCTAATCTCTTTGCCGCAACAAATTTGACTTTAGTTAGTTCCATCAACCATCATAACTCCTGAAAATACATTCTTCCATGTTAAGTCACCATAACTCTCCACTACTCTTGGTTCTACTACTTTCCGTACCTCTTCTCAACTCTCAACCACCACTTTCTGGGCATCTAGCTAGGCCTTTGATGCTTTTAAGTTAGGCTTGGACTCTGTCATTTTTTTTATTTATTATTTTTTAAGTTTTAATAATTTAAACGGAATTGATTGTGACATCCATTTCCTAGAGTATGACATTGAAAGTCAAACGTTTCACATTGTTTTGTGTTACTCATTTTTCTTGTTTATAATTAACATGTCCTTTTCAACAAAGATTGTCCTTCCTACGCGGTGAATCGACAAGTACACGGTATTAACATATATTGTGTATTTTCATATTAATTATCTCATGATCTGCATATATAAAAACTTCACAAATCACATGCAACCTCACCCCGTCACTAATAAACCCATTTGAGCCACTTTGAGATTGGAAACTGACACACGTTATATTGCATATTTTACTGGACCATAATGTGTTTTTATTTTACTTGGAAGAGGAGCCGAAACCAATTGTTTTTGTCACTGGTTTTGTGGTTACGACCCACTGAAATAGAAGATACAGAAGTATCAGTGATCAAAGGTCAATAAGTCAGGGTTAACAGTAATTAATTATGGATGGTTTATATAATAGTAGTCTTTGCAATTGAAATAATTCATGGTGGGTTCTAATTCTAAAACTCGAACATGCAGCAACTACTGCGAAGTTGTTCATTCAAAATTCATAAACAAGTCAAAGATCCATCATCCTTTGGCGTGCTTTGGAGTAGTTGCCTACCAACTGAATTATGAAGGTCCAGGAAAAATACTCTTAAAAAAGCAAGTAAATCTCCGAAAGCTTCCGGGGTCAGAAGTTATATGAGTCCAGGATTCATTATGACTTCTGTAACTTAGTTTTTCTTCTTAACAATCAATTGATATGATTAAAAGCCTTAAAGTCAACACAAAATCCCCAGTAAACACCTTCCTCCAACCTGGAAATTTATTTTCGCAAGCGAGATATCTCAAATTATCTTTACACTTATCAAAGAACAGGATTAAAAAAGTTCCAAGTAATTATGGCAAGTTTTTCATTGCCTTCCAAAAAATAAAGGGAGAATTATAGGTTAAAACTTAAAAAGCAATAAGGATGCATTTGAATAAGGATCTGCAAAATTCTTCATAAAAAGATGTTTTATTTCTGGAATATTGGTGGGAAGCTGTATACTAGAAACTAGAAAGGCTTCACAGGGGCCCGGAATGGAGACCATCAAATCAAAATGGAAGATAAAACAAAACATAGGATTGAGATATTCTATGAAAATCGCAGGCATATTTGCCCACAGAATATCATTTTACAGGTTAAAGACAAAGTTGGGTTGAATCAGGTGAAACAGAGCAAATGGGAGACTCTCTGCTTTCACGTGGGTTGCTACCAGCCTACCATTATAACTCCCACAACGGCTATACCCTATCATCATTCTATTGAATAATACTGTAATACCATTTAATAATTCATTTCTGTACTATTAACAATAATAATAATTATTTTTATTTTAATTAATTGAAAATAATCAGATAATGGACACTATCATATCATGCCAGAATTTCTCTACAATATTTCATTAAAAAATATATAAAGAAAAACAATCAATAAATCACATAATTTACAAAAGTGAGTAATTAACCATCACTTTTTTTCGTTTTTTCTTCGTCCTCTTCAAGTCTTGTCCACTTCATGGATCTCTCCGATTCTCAGATTATGCCTCATTAACTCCTATTCAGAACCCGGGACGACTCGGAGGATAACTCACCCACCCATTTTGCCATCTCCATGCATTCTCCGGAGCAATTTGTAGTATGACTCAGCTCAGATCTTAACTCGCAATCCAATTTTAACATGATTATACCAAAACAAAACTATAAACCCACCCACTTACCTTTCGTTATTGGTAAGTGTTAACCCCAAGAATTAGTAAACTCAAACGAGTCGATCACATAAATGAACTCGGTCACTGTATCTTAACTTTTCACTTCAAGATTTCGTTTCCTATCTTCCTCGGAACGAACGAGCGAGATAACTCGGACTGAGTCAAACCCGGGTCAGAATCAAACAATTTAACTTTATTTATTTTTACCTTATTTCCTTACCAGATACTTTTATTACCAACTCCATGAAGAAGAGGTCGAGATTCAGTCCAAAAATCAAGTTTTTTCTTGATGTCCACGTGGCAGTATCTCTGAAAATCCTCAAGATTCACGAACCGAGATGAGTGCCCGGATTCCGACCGTGAAATGAATCGAAGGACTTCTTCAAACACGGACTCGTCACATGGGATGGCCAATGGACCTTGGCTAGTGAATCCGTACTCTTCCTCAGCTTGGACAAGTAGTTTCTTGAAGACGGGATGGTTAAGGTACGTCGCACGCACCACAAATCTCCTGTAACTGCTGCCAACGCACACCGCCACGTGTCCGGCAGGAACATCGGATGGTATGCGATTAGCTGACATGCGGGCCTTGTTACGCCACCTTCGTAGCAACTGTCTTAGCCTGACAATGTGACGGATTTTGCTGCATTTTCCAAGTCCGGCAGACATTTTCCTTGACAAGAAAATAGAGTCTGTTTGGTCTGGTTTGGTTTTGTTTGGTTTCGGTTTCTCTTGGTATTAGTGATAGTAAGAGAAAATATTGGGGGGATTGGAGCTGTTGGAGGGACAAGGTTTATAAAGATTCATGGTGGCAAAATTGCCCTTCATATTGCAATTAATTACAATGCCATTTCTGTCGTTACATCAGCATATAAATATTTGCTTTTGGCAGGCTAATGCTAAAATCTTAAACGATATTTCAATTTATTTATTTTTATTTTATATTATACTAACATAACATGGATATAAACCATCAAGATGGTCTGATGGCAAAAAGGTAAAGAGATCTTTACCCGATTATTAATTTCAAATTATTAATTTCAAGACCACGAATGGTTATTTGAGGTGTGTTTAAGTTAATTTAAATATCTTCGATTTAAAAAAAAAAAAAAAAAAACATAACAATGATATATTAGGCAAAATTAATCCACGATTAAATTGATTTATTAAATTTAAAATATGTATTAATGGATAAGAATTATGTTTTAAAACATGCAATTAATTTTTCATTAAAGGTCAATTTTTGCTAAAACTTAGCATTAAAGTTGGAGTTGGTCAAGTCCAAAAGGTTAAAGGATGTTGAATTTAACGAAGACATTAACTGTAAAGAACCCATGTGATTGTTCTCGAAAATAATATAAATGAATGGGATTCATTCGGTCAGCTTAAAAAACAGAAATGCTGTTGAAGCCTCCGAAATTTTCAAGATTCATGAATGTTAATCTAGTAAACTGTTAGGAACCCATATTGAAAGGGAAAAGGGTGGACATGTGAATTATAAAGGTTTGGACACTTTTCCTTGATAAGCTGGTTTTTCAAGGAGAGTTATATCCAAACCCATGAAAAACCCATGATCCAACCTAAATTGTTGAGTTATTCGAGTGGGTTCCTAACATAAACTAATCCTTATCATGAATGAGGTAATTAGGAAGTAATAAACTGAGAAAATTATAGGCGGCCATTTTTATCTCTGTAACTTAGAAAAAGGGATATAGCCACCAAGGTGAAGAAGGGATTTCATATTTTAATTAACAAAAGTGTTGGCAATTGCGCTGTCCGTGCGGGATGCTTTTTAAGCACGCACGAAGACGAAGACGAAGTCGATCGAAAATTCAAACTCATAACCCACCACATGCAAACGCAAAAGTTTCTTTGTATAGAAGTGGTTGAGGCTATTCAAGATGCTTTTGTTTCATAAAAATTTTATTAAATTTACAAAAAACCAACTCTTCTAAAAGGAAACCATTTTTATATTCTCCATATCTGACCATCCTCCATGTGCAAGGATGCCCCATTTTTCCTTTTTCTTTATATCTTTCAAAGCAAACTGCCAAAATCTTTCCTCCTAATCACTCTATTGCCCATCCTACCCAATCAAATTTCTAATCACTTCTCTAAAACAATGATCATCAAAATGGAAAAAAACACCATTGAATGGTCAAGATGGACCCGATTGCATATACAGGTGAATGTAAAATTTGAGAGAGGATGCATCCCCCCACAATACCATTTTAAGTACCCCACTTGTTAAGATTTAAGGATCATATCATTTATAATTTTCATTGTTCAATGTTTTAAACCAAACAACACTTTGATATAATTTAATTTTTGGCAACAAAATGCTACACCAATATCTTTCCATTATACGAATAGATTGTATCATGCATTAACTACTTTGTTTTCTTCTGCATTTAATTTTTGTTTTTGTTGAGACAAAAATGTAGGAAGATTTGGAGAATATATGCAGAATTTAGGGAAGGGTAATCTCGTAATTATACAACACAGATGAGGGTAATTGAACTTATATTTTAATTAATTACTTTATTTATTTATCCATTCAAGGTGTAGCAGTAGGACTTGACTCGACCGTGTAAAAATCTCGACTTTAATGGAGTTTAAAAGGAAAAATGACGTGGCAGTAATTGTAAAGTCGGCTTCAATTCTGCACAGTGGTCGAGGAAAACAGTTATCCCACGTCATTGTCTAGAGCTGACGTGGCATTGTCTTTGTGTCTTCGAGGCATGAGAAAAGGGTCCCATGGTAAAAGGACCCGCCCAAATAGGCCAATAGGAATTTTATTTTATTATTTAAATGGGTAATACAGTTAAGGGACTTGGGAAGTACTTTTGAGAGAAAAGTAACGTCTAGGTTCGTAGCTGCTTAGTTGTACTGAACTGTGTCACGGGCCTCACGGACCCACGCTCTTCCGTCTCCTTCTCGTACGGGGTGATTTTTCTTTTTAAAATTCTCAACTCATGAATCATTCAACCCTTCTGTGTAATCCGCTCATACCCAAATATAAGTAATGCAACGATCAAAACATCATCATATGAAAGATGTTTAAAGTTGAGAGTTGAAGAAGAACATCAAGGTTTGATGGTGTTACGGGCATTGATCAATCCCCGGATTATAAATTCCCGTTGTGTCATTTCATTTTAGGTTAACTCTATTTATAAGTTTATTATTGTAACAGTATTTAAACAGACTTTCGACTTAAATTAGAGAGTTTTTTCGAACGTCTCATTCATATTTAGGACGAGCCGCATTTGTACACAGATAAAACATAAAAAGCAATACATAAACAATGATGTAGGATTTATGTCTAGTATCTGAACCACTTTAAAAATATTTTATTGTTTGTGTTTTTCATTGATCTATTGATCTCATATTGAATCATATATTTTATACAGTCTCTTACATAGATTTAATCACGAATTATACGTCGGTGAAAATCACAACATCAACAAAAACAAAAGACAAGAAATTAAAAGGATTAGAAGATAGACAAGCGTGAAAGATTTGTTAATTAGTAATGGAAGGTGGAAGGAAGACGTGTGTTGTTTGTAGTCTAGTTTCAACCAGAAAAACTTTTGTTGGTAGTTTGGGAATCTGTTCTATCCTTTTTCATCCACAAATGGTAATTAAATTTGGATTAAGCGCCGACAAGGCTTGCTAATAAGATATAATTATACAGTATAATCACTTCGCTGGCACATGCGGAGCCTGTTTAGAGACAAATTAAACAACAAACAGATGTTTATAATTTGGATTTGTATTTCACACCAACTTTGGGCGTATGCAAAGTAGCGTTTAAGAGAGTGACACTTGGGCTAGGTTAATACGTTGGGTGATTTGTCGTCTTCATTATTCCTGCTGTGCTGCTTTCAAGGTATCAAACACCTCTCAGATAATGCAAACGTGAGGGTGTCTTTGAGCGCACACTGTAATAGGAGAAGATATGCCGGATTTTTTCAGATCTTTGACAGCTTCTTCATCAACACGAACTTCAAACATGACACCCCAAGATATTAATATTTACGATTCCATTGTCAGAACATTGTATTTGATCATCATCCTCATGGACCTCATCCATTTATCTTGCACAATTAGATACAATATTAATAACACTGTATCGCCAGCTTAAAGATATGTACGTAGTTGAAATATACACTAAATTTTGCGTTGTTAAATAAAACCAATCAACTCAATATAAATAAGTACAAGCTGGTTTCTAATCTGCCCAACACCCGACCTCTTTGCTTGGTTCCTCCCGTTCGTCGGATTGAAGAGGCAGAAGACAAGGTTACTTTTTAGTTTTTAGTGCATGGTTGGTGCACTCTGCATACGATAAAATCCACTTGCTCAAATTTTAGATCACCCATGGCCTTCTTTCTTTGCATAATGTACGTACGTTCCTAGATTTTTTGAGATGATTAATTGAGAATAATAATCAAGATGAGGAAATATTTAGAAGTTTATATATATATTTATCAGGATTATAAAGTACAGAGGCATTAGCTGTAGCCAGTTGGAGCACAGTCATTGACTCTTTACTTTCCATCTACTTTAATATACACTAATTAACTAAATTTGGAACCAACTAAAACGCCAAATTACGTCCCCGTTTGGCGGTGAATATAAGATAATACAACTTTAATATAAACCAATTCGATTCCATTCATTACCTTTGTACAATAACCAGAGATTTTATCATTTTAATACATCCTGCAAGAAAAATGAGATCTCATTGTGTGACATACTTCTTAGGCGGATAGGCATTAGTACTATGAATAATACTTTATATACTAACGGATTTTACTAATTAGTGTATTAATCTTTGTTAAAATTACACATAGTACCTATACTATATTTTAAATTAGTACATTAACTAGTAAAATCTGTTAGTACGCATAACATTACCCTTAATACTACTTCTTCATCCTAAAATGACGGCAATTAAGCTAATGAACCCATGTACTCAAAAACTTAATTAAATAACAATAAATCAGTCCACGTTCCATCCACACACCCCCTATCACTATGTAACACCGTTTGATCTCAACAAGAAGGAAGAAGCTAGCTCCAGCTTAATTATATTTTTATTATATATAAAATAGTGTTGTGATTTGTGAAGAAGGAGTTCACACTTATATTTAATTTATTAAATTAATACACGGTTTTAATTCCGAGTAAAGCGCGGTATTAAAAATGTCCCAACAAATTATGTACCTACGGTTGTACTGATTAATATAATACTGAAGCTAAGAAATCATATTATTGGTCGTTGGCACCCGTTAATTAGGTTTATAGCTTCTACTTCATCGCCCCCATTAATTAAATTATAGCGGTGAAGCTTTTGAGAAATTCAACAGTTTACTGATGAGGTGCATGTGGTGAGAAAATAAATAAACAGAAATAATGTGATTGGGGAAGACGAAGAAGCGTACATGCTGAGAGTGAGACCTCATCATTTGTACAACTTGTAACCCACTATCCATGCATTCAAAAAGGAGAAGACAGTAGTACAGATAGAAATTGCACTAATATATGTTGGACACACAGGGAGGCTCAAATTTATTGGGTTACAAGAAAGGATAATCCTATTTAATAAGGTCTTATTGGGTGAGGAGTTAGATCTACTTCAAATTCTATTATAGTATCGGAGCCCATTTTGACTATCAGATGAGGAGTTAGAGTCACCAATTACCTTCATTAACAAACATGACTTAATATATAAGCTTAATCGTGAGAGAGAGTATTAAAGTTCTACACCAACTAAGCATATTCAAATTTATTAGGTTATAAAAAGGTAATCTTTCCATTAATAAAACCAAGAGTCACGCCATCTCATATTCTATCAATCTATTCATTGCGCGTACAACCATATTAACTGTTCCATATAATTATATAAAAGGGACGCCCGAAAGCAAAACCTTCTTCTCTTTTTGTCCCAGCTTTTCAGACCATAATTTGGACGGTGAAATTAGATTTAAGCTTTAAGAATCTAGCTTTTTTAACTAATAATCTCGACTGTTATAAAGCCCACAGAATCCACTACATGAACATGATACCATAGACCAGTAAAATATGGACACTAAGTTAGCCAGCCAACCCATATAACTTATCTCCTACTGACACAATCCCATTCCATTATTTTTGGTTTTTAATTCTACAATTATATGGATTGGTCATTCCCAAGATTGGGAACAGCCACCACAAATTAATTAATAAACTAACCATACTTCCAAAACTTGATAAACCGCCACCTGTTTGAGTTCAGTCAACATCAATGGGGCTTTAATTAAAATGAAGATAACCTTAAATAAATAAAACCCTTAACTAAAACATGTCAAAGTCTCTTTTAACATTAAAGCTATAATAAAAAGCCAAAGTATTGCTAGCTGTCCTAGACTCCTATCAATAAAATATAATTCTTTATCTTTAAGTGATGATTAAAAGGAATTTAACTAACTAATTGTAGAATAATCCCAGACTTAGTCCAAGAAGAAGAAGAAGCAGAAGAAAGGCAACGATATTGGTAAACGACCTTATTGTTTAGGTAATGGTGGTGCTGTATATATATATATTTGACAGGCATACAATTTTTGGGTGGGTAGGATTATTGGGTCAAATTAAATTTTATTGTTTATCTAATCAAATCAAATGATTGAAAATGATTGACATGATAACTTAATTAAGCTAACAATTAATTTTTGACTAGGTATTATGTTATATAAAACATAATTTAGGTTAATCCACCTAGATTAGCCTCAGATTTGAAGCATATAAAAGATATCCTATAGGATTAATTATTTGAGTTTATTAATTAAGCATTGGTCAATTAGAAGCTATTAATTAATTAATATCCATTAAGAAACAAGAATGATGTTGTAGTTATCTTTGTAATCATATGATAAAAAGATAACTAATTAACATGCTTCAAGGGGAAGTATGGCTTTGTTCAAGTTAGTTTCAACTACTTCAAACTCTTTTTTTTTTTTGGGTGAAAGTCTCGAGATGTCATGTACTCGAAGGTATGAGACTAATTCTCGATTGGGGCTCGGGTAAATACTCTTAGTCACAGTTTACAGTGAGATTCGAATCCATGATATTGTAGATAAAATTTCAAACTGTTAATATGGTAATAAGGTTACAAGTTTTAGTTGAAGATCACGTCTAACAGCAACTATCTGCATCTAAAGAAGATCTTGGAAATCCATTGTCAACATGTATAGAGAGAAAAAAATGTCAGATAATGAAAGGTAAACCAAACAAAGATTCTACATGGAGAGAGAGATGCTCTTTTAAGTAAGGCAACAGTCGCATCATAAAAAAGAAAAACATGTAAGTTTCTCGATACTTTGATTAAGAGAGTTAATAGCATGTTACGAGCCCGGATTATACGGAGAAATTTTGTCGCAATCTGCTGTTTGTTTTCTCATTATAATAAACAGTAATTCACATGGAACTCAGAATCATCAACCATCTTCTCCCACTCGTCTCTTTCACATCTTAATAATTATGTAATAATCAATTCTTTTATGTCCAATGCCTATGCTTAAATATATACTATATAGTTTTTTCTGATGATATTAAAGGGTCCCATCCAAAACGAATAAAAATGTGGTGGTTCTGAAAGAAACCCCATACCTGATTGATTATAGATGGTGAAAATGATCATGATTCCAACCATACAGATCTGTCTTTGTGTATAATTTTGTTATGGGATTGGGAGCCGTCCATATATTTCTTTTGCCAATCATAAGTACGTGGTGTAATTGGAATGTACTTGCACAGCCACACCCAAATCCTTGATAAAAATGATTGATAAACCAACACTGGAACTTGTACACCATTTATACTTTATATATAAACAAATTTAGACTGACGAAATCTCCACGGCGAAATGGTGGACTGTTGACATGTGTCCAAGCTAGCTGTAGCTTTTGCATAAGTAACACCATCAAGAAGAATCTCACCCAAGATATGTACATTTGGGCCATGTCCATCTTGATTGATGAAGACAATTTAGCTGCACATTGAATCAAACCAACCCATAATATCCAACCAACCAAATTAGCATAGCTGTAGCTGTACGTAATGCACAGCCGAATTGAGTCAGAAGTCTCCACTCAGTAAATTTAGCAAACGATACAGCCCATCAACCCATAATGCTTTCGAAATGTGGCATTCCTCCATTTGTTTAAGATAAATATCTCTGATCCACACAACTCATAAGGGTCACTTCCGGCTGATTCGATGGAGATTTTCTCTGCGATCGAGCAGTTTAGAGCCTTTAGACCCTCAATTTGTATATTTTCTCTGCGAAATCTGGCATTATATCGTCAGTCCCATTATATGAGAAAGTGATAACAAATATATCTTTAGAAGCAACTATGCTTTAATCTATAAATTGATTACAAGATGTTGTATTGAGTTAACCAAAGGGGGAGAGAGGGAATATAAATTGTATCACCAAGGATGTCGCAATTAAGTATTCAATTGAAAGTGTAATATGTTATCAATATATCAATGGTAGCAGATCAAATGTTATACAATCGATTTCATCAAATGTACAGAGGATAAGCAAATCTAACTCTTTGAATGGGTTTCCGCTACATCAAAATTAAGAAGCTCTAAAACGGCTGTCAAAACATTTGAAAGGAAACCAAGCCATTTTGCTTCCAAGAACAAATTTTCGCCTTTCAATGTCGTCAAATTTGGAATCAGCCTCCTATCTCCCAGCATACAACTAACCTATGTTGGAACTGTGGAAGCATAAAATGTCCTAAACTGTAATAACAGGTGAAAGTAAAATAAATCAGAAACAAATGAATACTTAAACAGACACAACCAATAGCTGATAATATATAAATGCAATGTTAAAGGAGACACCATAGTATTTAGTACTTTCAAGCCTGCATTGCTTTACCGTCATGTCATGTTTAGAGACCAGTTATTGAACACAAAAATGAAATAATTAAGTTAGCTATATTAATTGTTAGGGCAACATAAATGGCCCAAGTGGAGCTTAATAAGGGGCTCATACAAACTCCTCCATCTTGAAAGAAGAAAACTGGGGACTTACTTTGATGTTTTTCAAATAATTAAAAAAAAGCTCAAAAGACTTAATTAGTCTTGCAAATAGGAAAATATACAAGTAAACCAGAAGCATTTAGACTTAAATTAACTTGACCAAAAGAAACCTTCTTCACAAAAAATCAAACCAGGGTGTCCGGACTTTTACTTCCATAATTTTTTACATGACGTGATTAAGCCCCAAGTTTAGAATTAAGCTCCAGTAACTCCAAGCCATTATGGTCTGCTAATGCTTATTCTGCTTCATTGCTCGCAGGGTTCTCAAAGTGAATGTGCTAATAGAATAAGGGCTTCACATGTAAAGTCATTGCATTGGTCCTATGAATAGACCAATAGGCATCTATTTGCTTTACTAAATCCACAAAAAGAGAATAATCACTCTATTGAAATCCAGAGATCATCAAACTGAACCCACCAGGTATGAAACATGGCTAATTGGCTATGAAGTCTGAGCTTATACAAGTATATGTACAAAAGCTTTCAGACCTGAAACCAGCAAATGGTGGGATTAAAAGAAAAATTACAAGACAATTCAACACTAACCAAAAAAATTCAAAACATTAATAATGATTGCACTAATTAATCTAAAGAGTTGAAAAATTACCTGGGCAAGAAAACGCCTTCAACAAATGGAATTTCCATAGCAGACTCTAATGATCTTCGGCAGATCTATGCTTCTTTGACTTCTTCATCCTACGATCATTGCTCAATGAAGATGCTCCATCACCAATGGTTCCATTGTCCAGCAAATCTGGCTCCCTCAAACCCTCCCTCCTCTTCCTAGTACTCCTACATAATCATATAGCAATTATAGTCATGAACAGGTGTTCTAGGATTGAGGTTTTGCAGATTTTAAAACTTCTAGAGTCCAAGTTAAGTTTAAACCTATCAACTGAAACATCTTCTGATTTCTTATCTAACCAACGAATGCTTCCAGTATGAGCTGGACTCAAGGATCCAAAGATATGAAGGATTTCCTCATTGAAGCTGCAAATATGAATCGGTGTAAGAGATCGCGCAACATAGAATCTAAGTTTAAGCCTCATATGTGAAGCATACTATCAAAATAAAATTTAAATTATCCTCAGATATTAAGCATACTGTCACTCAAATAGAAATTAAAAAAATACTTCCTCTAAGATGCCATTAGGAAAAGAAAATAAATAATTAGAAAAGCAATATGTCACCTTTTAACCAAAAACCGTATCATGGTTCCAACCTTTATCACATGTCGCTTTTGGGATCTGCTAGCAAAAACTTCTTCACCATGTTTCTAAGTTTGAAAAAAGGAAATTCTGTTAGTTATCTTTAGACTTTCCACAGAAACAGTTATAATATCAATTAAAAGAAAGAAAGAATGAGAGAATGCTATGAACATCAAAACAAAATGATAAGTAGTACATACAATTTTATAGTAGAACTCATCTCGTATGTCTTTGTCTATTATAATAGCAGATGAAAATCCCAGAACAATAACATGAATGGACTCTTGTGTAAGCTTCACCACTTTCCCTTCTGAAAGAGTAACATTATTAGAAACCAAATGAATGTGCATCATGACTGATGGGCAACAATGATTTATAAGTACATATAAGATTATGTACTGCTATGCATCATCAGAAAATCTTATTTTTTCCAACCATATGAAATTCATAATATGTTCCAAACTTAATCAATCAAATGATATGATCTTGATATAACTTAAATAATAAACATAATTGTGTGTTCATAACAATTTTAGATAATGAGTAGTTAAGAATGTGAAAGATCCTGAAAACCCCACCTAAGAGCATATTTGGTTTTGGAGAAAAAAGTAAGAGCTTTGCTTTTAGCCTCACACCAAAATACGGATGAATCCCAGAAAGGATTTTTGCATTTTCATCCAGAATGTTGACATCATAAGCCAGCACAACACCTTCAAAAATTTCACTAAATCTGCAATAGAAACCAAATTAAGAACATTATAACAAGACAGATGGGTGTAAAATGTCTGTAGACAAAGACAAACAAGCTGGTGTAATGTATAAATATACGATATGAAAATGACTATTGACTTCGAAAATGGCCTCAGAAGCCTGTTAACAGATCTCAACATCCCAATGGCTTCAATAGAATTTAATCCGAATGAAAAACACACCAAACGGCGTCTTTAAGAAATTAAAGGCACAAAATTTGAAAGTTAATTATACTACACTACATACTACCTATGTAAACTGATTCATACAAGTTAAATGAGGCATAACAGAAATGAAATTAAGAAAAGATTAAACAAATAAAAGTAGATGATAAGAAAATCACACCACTCTTAACAGAATGTCCCATGCCTTAAGCATAAAAAATATGTCTTCATACATTTATTAAAAAAAAATTCAGATTATTAGCTTTAATCAAACAAAAGATTGAAGAAAAAAGAAGCAGTTAAGTAAGGGGTAGGAAAACCAACTTGAAGAGCAGAGAACTAAGCTCGCGGCGTATTGCTTGAGAAACCCTGTTACCCTTCGATGGGTGAACATACACTACTAAATTAGCATCTGATACTTTCAATCCATCCATTTAGAGCTCTGATTTAAACCCTAATCACCACGGTTTTCAGAGTTGGAATATTTGCGCTCTATGTAGTTAAGCTTCTGCTACTCTAAACCCTTCCAATTCTTCCCGGTTCTCGCGCTCTGTTTCTAGGGTTTTAATCAAGTGAAATTAGAATACAGAGTTTAACAATTTAAAATAGACCCGTCGATATGGGCTTTAAATGTGGGCCTGAACTGAATTAGGCCTGTTGTTGATAAAACAATTGGATCATGTCCAAGTTCTTTTGTTACGGACACTGACCCAGAAGGACAATGAAGAAAAGGTCCAAGCCAATGGACTTTACAGAGCCCAAACTTATCCTACTCCAAAGTCTCCAATGATGGATATTGGCCATCAGGAATCATTTTATGCCATAAGAAATTGTGATTATTTGCTAAGTTGTAAGGCATTTTGAGTAAAGAGCAGCATGATTGATGTAATCCAGCTTCTTAGCAAATAGAATGACATGCATTTTGATGTTGAAAAAGGGTTGATAATATAAGTTTATAAAAGGTGTAGTGGAAAAATGAATGAGTAGAGAGAGAGAAAAGAAAAGAAAAGGCACTTTTTTCCACCTCTTTTATTGAAAAAGCCCATAAAGCAGCCTTGAATCTCGGCCCACAACCATAAAGACAAAAGGAAATAGGAAACAAAAAAAAAAAAAAAAAGGTGAATAAAAATAGAGAGAGTTAAGAGACAAAATGGAGCTCTCTATCGTCAGAAGATTCAGAAGCAAATGTCTCCTTACATCCCTACAACATATACTGCTTCAATGTTCCCCTCATACCACGCTCGTTTCACTTCCAATTATCATAAGTGGACCCCTTCCCCACATTCTTAACATTTACATAAACATAAATCCCATGGAAAATTCTATGCTTTTGCTCTGTAATTTAAAATTTATTCTTTTGTTTTTACCTTCATAATATGATTCTTATATCATTTGTCTCTCCTGTACAGTTTGTACACTTACCACCTGACCTTTCTGTTCTTAAAGATGCTATCACTACTACTTTCTCTATTGCTTTGCTTCCTCCATTATCATAGCTTGACCAAAATGGGACCGTTTCTGAAATTCCGCCGGAGACATCTGATATAATCATCACCAGGACTTGACGTAACAATAATAACTACAGTCTCTGATCTGCCCACGAGAACGGCCATGATTTTGGGCATGAAATTCAAATAGCTCGTTTTTTGGGTGTAAAGTTTCGGACCACATTTAATTTTGTCCCATATAAATGAATGATTCTACTGTCCATCTCGCCATTTTCATTATTTGACGTGGTATGATATGCTATGGCATGATTACTCTCACCCCTTTATTTTTATTTTTTTGCAGTGCAAAATCATTACGCATTGCCCAATTTTAATAATGAGGAAGAAAGAAACCTAAACTACTATATATCAAATTCATGGCTTGATATAAACATAAATGTTGACCCCATGGGGCTATATCAATAGCAAATTCAATGGTCCCTTCACATGATTTCTTAGAAGAGTGGATCCCACACTAAATCTGGGAGGCCCCTCCTCATCGCTTTATAAGCATTTCAATTGCAATAACACAGCTCACTTTCTCATAAATATGCCTTATCTTGACTTTGTTATGTGATGTCACTTTAGTTGGACCACTAGAGATCTTACAATATCGAGTTTGGTTGAATTTTTGAGCATGTTAGATATGATAATTGATGATAGTCAATTAGAGGTCAAGCACTAAGTTTATACGGCGAACCCGAACCCACTTTGTGCATGGTGGAAACAGGGAAGGAGACTAATGGGTTTTGGGTTATAAACTCATACGCATCGTTTAGAGTTAAATATTAAGCTGAGAATACGGCGAGTTTATGTTCCAAAGCCATTGAATAATGTGCACAAGGGAGGTCCAATTCTATTCTAACCTCGCGTGCCGCTCGATTTCAGCGTCCAATCCCGACCGTCCGATCATGACCCACATCCATATAAATGCATGCTGGGAGGGTGTTCACGTTTCCTATACAAAATAACGTGTCTGGGGATTGGTGATCTTAAAAAAAGTTGACAAGATTGCTTCCTAAACAATTTAAATGATTTGGGAACTTTTGTTTTTGTGTTTTTAACAAAAACAAAAATTGTCCCATTTAAGACCATTTGGTGGTGATTGTCTTATTTAACTCTTAAGAATTGAAGATGGCCGGCCCCACTGTTTAAAAGGGTAGATCTAGCTCGTACTTGGTAGGAGAAAGGGCTTTAATCTTTAAACCGGTTGCCCATTTTTCACTTGAGAAGATAATCTTAACTTAATCTCCAAATATGAATGGGGATGCGTGCGTGAGCACTTTTTCCTTTCCATGCGTATTCAACTATGCAACAGTGGCCAAATTACATCATTTCATATTATCATGTACATTGCATGAGTGAGTCATCTCATTTGGAAAACCTAAAGCTCTCTCTCTCTCTCTTTCTTGCCCTTTATTAGCGGATTCCTCTCGGGAGTGCTCCACTCACCAAAAAATCTTTGTCAATTTGGTACAAATATCTTCCATTTTCAACCCAACAACATATGCCTATTTTATTTCCAGAAGATTTTGTTACTACAAATCCCCTGTTAACCATTAAGCTTAATTAAGGATCTTGGCAGGACATGAGCAGAAGAAGATAATGAATGACATTAATAAAACTAATTGCAACTTACAATTAAATACTTAGTAAAGACTAATATTATGTCAATAATAATTTTTTATAAATTTTTTTTAATAATTTTAATATGATAGTTTATAATTAATTAATTTAAAATTAATTAATAAGATTTATATGATCCTTTAAAACTCGTTATGAATTAATCAATTTTAAACTTTCACGTCAGAATTATCGGGGAAAGTTTGCGGGATATAATTAATAGTGTTGTTTAATTGTATTATTTATATGTAAATGTAAAGAAACGCACAATTCAAAGAAGCAGCGCCGCCGCGACCCGTTACTCAGACTAGTGACACGTTTCACTACAGGTTAACGTGCGCCACTGCCACCATTGATTTGTCGTGAACTGCACGCGTAATGACAGCCAAATATCAGGCGCAAAAGCACAGAGACTCGCTTTTTCCTTTTTTATTTTTTTTTATTTTTCTCATTTAGTTTTGCTTCACTAACTGTTGAATGTTCAAGTATATGTCGCTATAGCTTGAGAATTTAACATGAGCTGTAATGTATGATATTATAATCGGATTTGGCGAATATTAATATAGAGCAGGTAAAAAAAATGGAGTTGAGCAAAAGCCAAAAGCCAACAGTGATGTGATCCTCGTAATCCACGTGCTAAAATGCGCCATCTACTAAGACATTATAACCGGCCTCCCTCCTCTTTTGAAAAACTTTTTTTTTCTTTCTTTTTAATATTGTGTGTAAGTACTGTTGAGTTTTCGTGTTCGCTTGGTGTTGCTCTGCTTTTTGCATTTCTTTATTAGTTATTATTGCATTTGGTCTTTAAATATTTATACACAGTATAAAGCTGCAACGGAATCGCCTTTTACTGAAAGTGTGTGCGCAGGATAAGAGCATGCACACTCTTTCCAGTTTCAACCAAAATATATAGCTACTCTATGTAGACAGGGAGAGAGAGGGAGGGGGTGAAGGTGAAAGTGAGGGTGAGGATGAGGATGAGGATGAGGATGAGGATGGGGCTTTGGCATAAAGAAGGAATCAGTTCAGTTGTATTATTATGATGATGAGTGGGTTTCATTGAAAGGTCGGTTTCTTTGGAGGAGATAAAAACAAGAACAAAGAGAGACTATTCATACTTTGGTTGGCGTGCTTCGATGCAAACTGATGGGTTTTTATTTTTGGTTGTGTAAAAGCCCCACCTTGTAGATTTTTTTTCAGAAGCTACCAACCTTTTCTGCAGGCTTTGTTCCTTGAGTTTGGACTCTTGAAGGTTCTTTTGTGCTCGCTTCTATTGGTTGATTTTCAGCAACCTTATATTCCATGACATGGGTCGATCCTAGTTTTGGAAGATTGGAATAGAATAAACAGAAAAATGAGATACGGATAAAAGGTTTTAGCTTTTGGATTTTGCGTTTTCTTACGAAGAAGATGGCCTCTGTTGAAGAGAAGATCAAAGCTGGAGGCTTGGTTGGTCGAGCACAAACTACTTTGCTAGAGGAAATGAAGTTGTTGAAAGAAATGCAGGATCAGTCTGGTTTGTTTTGAATTTTCAACTTAAGTTTTATTTGAAGAAGCATTCCAAGATTGTTGGTTTGGCTTACTTCACAAAACTTTCAGTTTTTTGTTTGAATTAAAAGTTTGCCTTTTTGTCTGTGAATTGAAATGAATAAAAAGGTTTCAAATTTCATCTTTTGAGCGTAACTAAGTTCAACTAAATGGTTTTCATGGCGTAGTATATGTAATTTTTAACTATTTTTATACAATTGATGTTGTTTTGAAGAAGCATTGCCGGAGTTTATCTCATAAAAAACTTGTCCTTGTTAATTTCAGGGGCAAGGAAAGCTATAAATTCGGAGCTATGGCATGCCTGTGCAGGTCCACTTGTTTCTTTGCCTCAGCTGGGTAGTCTTGTGTATTACTTCCCTCAGGGACATAGTGAACAGGTCTGCATTTATTTCTAATTCTTGTTCTTTTGCTTCCCTATACAGAAATAAATACTATTTGGCCTCCAGAAAATAAATAAATAGTAAAAAAAAAAACTTTGCTTTGTGATTTAAAAGGAGGAGGAAGCAAGCTGTGGGTATTAAATCGTTTCCTTGATCGATGAAAATTTTATATTTTTGTAGATTCGAATCTATACCGTCTCAGTTTGTCTTTAGGGCTGTGTAATGGCCTTCCTAGATGAATCCTAATAGGCTCTTTCATCTTCTTCTTCTTCCTTTTTTTTTGGTGAGATTCTGAGATAAGATTTAAGCTGACAACTAGAATTTTGAGTGAAAAGCTCACTTCACTACCTTGAACATCTGATTATTTTTTATCGGGCGGTTAAAAATGTTAGTATCTGGTCTCATTTAGTGCTCTCATGTCTACAGTATCAGAGATCCATCCTGAGCAACCAAACTAAAGCTGGATTTGCTAGAAATCTTCTTAAATATCAGTTTCGGATGTCCTCTGTACTTTGTTTCTACGAACCTTTCGAAAATCTGCGTAGATGTATTAAGAACAACCAAGAACTATAAAAATATATATATATATATATATATATATATATATATATATTAATTTTTGTTTTACTCTGGCTTTCTGTGGGAATTAATTCGAGAATATTGACATACATGTGCCTTTGAATGAGGTGCTATGGCATTTTCCTTGTTTTTTTGAGAGAATTAGGTGTGCATCATTTTAGTAAAATGTTTGCAGATCTCAAGTATTGCATAGTTTGTGACTGAAGGAGTTTAAATGTTGAGTATATTTTCACTACTGGACATATCGGTAATAATACAACTGGAAGAGATAATGTAGTGAGAGCGTTTGTAAAACCAATTTCAGGGTTAAAATAAGAGCATCCCAGTTTTCTTTTTGTCACTTATGAACATTTTTGTTGTTTGATCAGGTGGCAGTTTCTACTAAGAGATCGGCAACCTCACAAATTCCCAACTATCCTAATCTTCCATCTCAGTTGTTGTGCCAAGTTCACAATGTTACTCTACATGTAAGTCTTTTTGGCTGATTATAAATTTCCTCTATATATAGTACTGGTTTACTGCATTGGGACATCTATGTACCGCATCTTGTAATCTGTTATCTGCAATCTGTTATAGGCAGACAAAGATACAGATGAAGTCTATGCCCAAATGAGTCTTCAACCATTGAACTCTGTAAGTTTGATCATCTTAACTTATCTGAAAGTAATTGAATGTATCTATATTGTTAGATATTGAACCTCAAAAATGTATATTGGAAAACCACCAAAGCCCCAACTAATACAGAGGTGGTAGGAATTGTATATGTTTATACTGTTTTCATAAACCATGTTTTTTTTTTTTTTTTTTTAAAATCAGGAAAAGGACGTCTACCCTATACCAGACTTTGGACTAAAGCCTAGCAAACATCCAACTGAATTTTTCTGCAAAACTCTGACTGCAAGTGATACAAGCACACATGGTGGCTTCTCAGTTCCACGCAGGGCTGCAGAAAAGCTCTTTCCTCCACTGGTGAGCATTACCTCTGGTGGAAAACCTTGCAAGCAGTAATGATGGAATGGTGTATTTATATTTACACGTTTCATTATATCTATTTCAGGATTACTCAATGCAACCACCAACACAAGAGCTTGTTGTTCGTGACTTGCATGATAATACCTGGACATTTCGCCATATCTACCGCGGTAAGGTTGCTTTTCTTAATATTTTTTAATATCTCATACATTGGTTGTTAAGTTGATTATGCATGGAAGAAGTGCTTCTGGAATTTGGAAAATTGTTAAACAATTAATTTTTCTTTGTATATTCTTGTCAGATTATGCACAGCAGTATAACCTATATAAATATTGTTTATCAGTTTAGTTTTGTTTTAGCACAATAACTAATCACAGTATTTTGCTTTATGCAGGGCAGCCAAAAAGGCACCTTCTCACAACAGGGTGGAGTTTGTTTGTTGGGTCTAAAAGGCTCAGAGCCGGTGATTCTGTTTTGTTTATCAGGTAATTTCTGTGTTGGTTATGTAAATATGTCATTTGTACTTGCTTATTCAATGTGAAGTCATTGTTTGGTAAGGTTATGGGATTTCTATAAATTGGAATTTCTGTCTCAAATGGCTTAGTGTGCCTCTTTCCAAACTTTACCAAACTTGACTCAATTTATTTTGTGGAAAACTTTGAATTCAAGTAATTTCTTCGCGTGGCACTATACATGCTTGATAGCTAGTTATGTAGCTGACTTATTTGGGCAACTATTATGTTGTTGATGATTTGTGCCTTAACCGATAATAAATATTTTTAATGGGTTCAGGACAAGTTATGCCTTTTGGAATTGTTTAGTGAATGCACAATAAACATTATATGAATATGATTATCTCACTGTAGTTCATTTCATGTTGTAGGGATGAAAAATCACAGTTATTGGTGGGTGTAAGGCGTGCAAATCGCCAACAAACAGCATTACCTTCATCAGTTCTATCAGCTGATAGCATGCACATCGGTGTACTCGCTGCTGCAGCTCATGCTGCCTCCAATCGTAGCCCATTTACTATTTTCTACAACCCAAGGTTTGTTTAACATAGATTATCTTACTTATTCTGATCTTAGTTGCAATTATTCCTCTTTCCCCATTTCTTGTTGATTCTTTAAACTTATCCTTGATCATACTATCTTCTAGGGCGTGCCCTTCAGAATTTGTTATTCCTGTGGCTAAATACAGAAAGTCTGTATATGGGACCCAAATTTCAGTTGGTATGCGGTTTGGAATGATGTTTGAAACAGAGGAGTCCGGTAAACGGAGGTATTGTTTCGAGTGTTGATTACTCATATTCATTCTAGCATTACGTATAGTGAGAAGAAAGGGGTTGTAGTTTCAGAATGTAGCATCTGTTTCTGATAAATCTCTTCTGTTTGTTATGGGTACACTAACTGTTTTATTGCAGTAGTTGCAAGTTTGAAGTTAGGCCAAATTTTGGTTTGTTAACCTTTTATCTTGTTTTCCACAGATATATGGGAACAATAGTTGGGGTTAGTGATTTGGATCCACTGAGGTGGCCTGGTTCCAAGTGGCGAAATCTTCAGGTACAGTACATTATTTCTAGATGTTAATCAATTCTGATCTGACATTGATTTTCTTCATTCTTTTCAAGTTGTAAAAGCTAGTGCTCTGTGTAATTTGCCAGTTTGACAATTGAACCCCAGACATCTGCTTTGTAACAGGTAGAGTGGGATGAGCCGGGGTGTAGTGATAAGCAGAAAAGGGTTAGTTCATGGGAAATTGAGACACCTGAAAGTCTATTCATATTTCCATCTCTGACTTCAGGTCTTAAACGACCATTTTCTTCTGGATTTTTAGGTGAGTTTTGTCTGTTTATTTTTAATTGTTTCCTATGGGGTGTGTTTGTTGGATACTTATCTTTCTGCTATAATTGTGGTACCAGGAGCAGAAACTGAGTGGGGAAATTTATTGAAGAGACCTCTTATCTATCCTGAGATTGGAAATGGGGTTATGCCATACTCTCCAATGTCAAACCTGTGTTCTGAGCAATTGATCAAGATGATGCTGAAACCTCAGCTTGGTAATAGTTCTGGAACCTTTGCCTCTTCTCTACAACAAACCTCTGATGCCAAGGGAGCTCCAGTACCGGTAGAAGAGACGAAGACCCTGCAGGCTATAGTCAATCAGAAACCTCAGCTTATCCAGTCAGAAAATGCAAGGATAGAAAACCAAAATAGTTCCCGATTATGTGTTGACCAAACTGATGCCACAAATATGAGTTCATCAAAATCAAATCCTCCAAGCAAATGTGAGAAGCAAATGCCAGCTGGAACTAATACTGAGAATTTGAGATCAGAACCTGAGCAATCAACTGATCAGTTTAGTCATTTAACTTCGATGGGAGAGAGCAGCATGGAAAAACTGGTGACTAGTTCTCTAAATCCACAAAACTTAGTAAACCAGCATACATACCATAACCCGAACCAGGCTCCAATGCAATTACAAACCTGTCCTTGGCCAATGCAGTCACAACTGGATTCATCTGTATTGCACGGGCCACAGATTAATGTATCCCCATATGATTCTGGTAATCTGAACGGCTTACTTCCTTTTGTAGACACTGATGAATGGATATCACACACTTCTTGTCAATCACTTGCTGGTATGTATGGTAAAACACCATTACCCATGTCTGGATTGCAAGACCCTTCAGCAGTGTTCCCTGAAGTAATCAATCCCCCTTTACCTTCACCAGGCCAGGAAATGTGGGATCATCAACTGAATAATTTGAGGTTTTTCTCCCAAGTAGACCCGTTTACTCCATTTGCTCAGCAAGATCCCTGTGGCCTAAACTCCAATGGGTTGAGGGATTTGTCGGATGAGAGCAATAATCAGAGTGGGACTTACAGCTGTGTCAACATTGATGCTAGTAATGGTGCAAGTACTATGATTGATCATTCCGTCTCAAGTGCAATTCTGGATGGATTTTGTCCATTGAAGGATGCTAATTTCCAGAATCCTTCTGATTGTTTAATTAACAATTTCTGCTCTAGTCAGGACGTTCAATCTCAGATTACTTCTGCAAGCCTAGCAGATTCTCAGGCTGTCTCTAAGCAAGACTTCCAAGACAACTCAGGTGGCACATCTTCAAGTAATTTGGATTTTGATGAGAGCGGTCTATTGCAGAATACCTCATGGCCGCAAGTAGCTCCACCTGTGCGGACATATACCAAGGTACTAAAATTCTACTATCTTATTATACATATTATATTATGCCCTATTGTTTCCTTATAAATTTGTGGGCTTCAAATTATGAATTCATGGTATGGAATGTATAAGTTTTGTTGGAGAAAAATCAGCTAGGCAAAACTGCTCACTGACAAAAAATTTTCATAGAACCGGTTAGAGTCAGTGATGGGTTGTATATTTGCCTGTTGTGTATATACTAACTTTATCCTGTATCATTATTGTTTCAAATTTTGATGGCACTTTGACCAGAGGTTATAAAATTGTCTCTGGCTGACAGGTTCAAAAGGCAGGATCGGTTGGGAGATCCATAGATGTCACGACTTTTAAAAATTATGATGAACTATGCTCTGCCATTGAGCATATGTTTGGACTTGAGGGTCTGCTGAATGACCCACGAGGCTCTGAATGGAAATTGGTGTACGTAGATTATGAAAATGATGTTCTACTTGTGGGAGATGATCCTTGGGAGTAAGTGTTCTTTTCTTTGTTGATTTATGTGCTTTAATCTGTCCATTGTCGATATTTTCATGGATTATTAAGTGCAGTTTCAAAAAAAAATTTTGGTTTCTCATTCCAGTGCCAAGTTTCTGATCGTGTTGATTCCATGTTTGCATACAGAGAATTTGTTGGCTGTGTCCGGTGCATAAGGATTCTGTCACCTCAAGAAGTTAAGCAGATGAGTGAAGAGGGAATGAAGCTTCTCAACAGCGCTGCAATGCAAGGCATTGAGTGTTCCATGGTAGGTGGTGGTCGTGCAGGTGGTCCTCAGTGAATCCCGATAGACCCATCACTAGATATTCTTCCAATTTCTTCCTTACTGCCTTGTTTATGGAAGGAGAAGACCCTCTGGTAAAATATATGGATGCTGCTGTAAACACTGCTTCAAGGAAAGGCCTAGAGGCCCTCACCTTTGTTTTAGTTTTAAGTTAGTGAAGGCGGACTGACGAATGAATGAATGTAAGGAGACATTTCACATTTGTTAAGTAGGAAGTGAAACTACTAATATTAATATCATCGTATTAATGCTTATCAGATAATATGATGAAATGGTGATTTCGCCTTTCCCGCGATTACGAAATTTCTTTGCATTCGGAGATTTAAAACGTTCTATAGCAGGTTCCATTTCCATAAGCATTGGAGAATGGAGAACCACTTCCGCCCCAGGCCCGTCCGCTATAGGGCTTCCACGCTAACGTTATAGAGTTCTTGGTAGGTTTGATAAGCCCACATAAAGGACAATGGTTTAATAGCCGTGGCCGGATTTACTGGTATTTCTAATAAGTTTCAATAACTGATCCCATCCTAGTACAATTATGTCAGATGCTCCTTCATAACAGCTCAGGAATACGATGCTAATGGACCTGAAATTTCTGTTTTTATAAGAACTTTCATTGGAGAAAAAAAAAAAAAAAAATGCATTTTTGTTTTACCTTTCATTTTAGTTTCCACTCCGATTTAATGTCCGCAAAAACGAAATTCCAGTTTGTTTGTATGTTTCCATGGGAGGGAGCTCCACACGATACAATCTCTTTAAACTCACACTAATTTTGCAATAGCCATATGATTAGGTGGTTCAGTATTAAAAGCAAAATTTCTTTTGGCAAAACAACAGAGAGCCTCTCCATACTACATGTTCCATCTATTAATCAGTAAGATCTCTTTAAAGCAGGCGTTTAAGAATGAGAAAACCATGCATAGATTTGGAAACAAAAAAAGGGGAATTGTTAGATTGCTGTATCAAGTATATACACATTAATGGATAACCATTAAAGCCGTAAATGCTTCATCAAATGGGGCTAAAGAAAAATGGTAAGGACCAGTGAAATTATTGATTACAACTCATCAGCGAATTTGAGGAGGCCACACAAGTACCAGAAGACCACCCAAATCATTTAACAGGTTTAAATAACAACAATTCGCTGCTTTAAATATTGGGAAGATAATTGCAGCTATAAGGGCAAATAGTTCATCAATATTCCTATAAAAAACAATAAATTCACTATTTGGATCAGACTTCAGACATGAGAACATCTCTTTCGCTAAAAATTTTCAAAGAAAGTAAAAAAATTAAAATATGTAAACAGATTCATGAAGTAAATCAGAAATAACTAATTTACTAACATTATATTTGTCCAGATAACTGAGATAATAGCTATCACCTAAAGTACAAAACAATAGATAAAACATTTTTCAACTATAGAACAGATTATCATCCCCAGATATGTTTGGGGAAAAGAAACAATGGAAGCACTTATTCCACATTCAAATGAATTTTATGAGGATCTTTGAGCCAATGAACTAACACAAATTCTGTGTCAATAAGGCTAGGAACATTGAACACTATGCCTCTCATGACGATCTCACTGGCTTTTGTAGAACAGCAGACAGATATACTTCAGATTTGACATTATCTGCCTTTTCCCCCACAACCCACTTCAGTTTTTTATACCCAAATCGCTCTATCAAACGAGTCAAAGTCCTCTTCTTCTCATCATCGGCACAATAGAAGTTATCCAACCAAAACAAGCCACCAGCCCTCAGAATTCGGTCGAGATCAAACATTAAGAACTCCAATTTTTCAGGTTTACCCCCAACATCTAATCCACTAGATGCATGAACCAAATCAAACACATTATCATAAAAAGGGAACCTATGATCTAAACTCAAATACAGGGGAAATAGCCCTCTTGCAGCAATAAATTCACTATATGGAGCATCAATATTCAATGTATTAGTGATCACAGTCACATTTCTCTCTGCCATTCTAGCAGCAAAAGTACCAGACCCACCTCCAATATCAAACCCTATTCTAATTCCTCCACTTCCCAAACCTAACACATCATCAATAAGAAAATCATTCTTGCTTCTAGCCTTGACATATCTTTGATTTTCATACCCATTGACCAAATCAAAACAACCAACACAATCCCTACTCAACTTTTTACCATTCAAACAATCAAAATTCTTGCAACCTAGACCACTCCAAGTAACAATTTTATCACTAACAGGTTTCCAAATAGAATTAGGAAAAGATTGAAGACCCACCTTAGGAATAGACTTGGCAAAGCATCTCCTTCTAGGCAAAGGCTCGCATCCACGCAAAATCAGCTTCTGACCAAGGCTCCAATCATCTGGACAAGGCCCAGATACCTTGTAACTCATATACTGAGTCAACAAATCAGCAGATTTCTCACAGGTATGCCCCACAGATGCTACCATTTCAGTGACCCCAGTTTTTGAATCTTTACCAAGAGGAAGTGGGTGGTGTTGGAGAAACAATTTGAGCTCATTTGCAATATTGGGTCTTGAAAGATCAATGGTATCATATCCTAAAAGCTCTTTTTCCATCTTGGCAAGTTTTTTTTGAGACGAGTCGATCTCTTTAAGGATAAGAGAGACATGTTCAGAGATCAACGAGATGTTCCTGTGGTGGTGAAGAAGTGGGTGGTTTTGATTGTCTTTGGGGGACGACGTGAAGGCGTATAAAGCAAAAAGATTGGTGGTGATAACAGAGAAAAGCATGAGAATGTTAAGAGCTGATGAACATACTGTTGCTCTCTTAAATCTAGCTGTTCCATCTCCTATTTTCAGTGAAACTGAACCCATCTTACTCTCTGCTTTGCTTCTGCTAGTGTGTGAGAGAAAGTGAGTAATTGAAATGAAAGAGAGAGTGAAGGGTATTGAAAGTGAGATTTGTGGAGCGTCAAGTGGAGATTTTTCTATTACATAATATAATCAAGAAAAAATTGATATTAAGACACCGTAACTTTGAGAAGCTAGTCCTGTCGGTTACACAACAATTATAATGACTTCAAGGCGAAACTCGATTATCACTATTGTATTAGTTTTTTGTGTTTAAATCGGCTTAAATATATGTACTTTCATCTTGCCTTGTGACAGGAAAATCTAATTAAACTCANCTTGCAGCAATAAATTCACTATATGGAGCATCAATATTCAATGTATTAGTGATCACAGTCACATTTCTCTCTGCCATTCTAGCAGCAAAAGTACCAGACCCACCTCCAATATCAAACCCTATTCTAATTCCTCCACTTCCCAAACCTAACACATCATCAATAAGAAAATCATTCTTGCTTCTAGCCTTTACATATCTTTGATTTTCATACCCATTGACCAAATCAAAACAACCAACACAATCCCTACTCAACTTTTTACCATTCAAACAATCAAAATTCTTGCAACCTAGACCACTCCAAGTAACAATTTTATCACTAACAGGTTTCCAAATAGAATTAGGAAAAGATTGAAGACCCACCTTAGGAATAGACTTGGCAAAGCATCTCCTTCTAGGCAAAGGCTCGCATCCACGCAAAATCAGCTTCTGACCAAGGCTCCAATCATCTGGACAAGGCCCAGATACCTTGTAACTCATATACTGAGTCAACAAATCAGCAGATTTCTCACAGGTATGCCCCACAGATGCTACCATTTCAGTGACCCCAGTTTTTGAATCTTTACCAAGAGGAAGTGGGTTGTGTTGGAGAAACAATTTGAGCTCATTTGCAATATTGGGTCTTGAAAGATCAATGGTATCATATCCTAAAAGCTCTTTTTCCATCTTAGCAAGTTTTTTTTGAGATGAGTCGATCTCTTTAAGGATAAGAGAGACATGTTCAGAGATCAACGAGATGTTCCTGTGGTGGTGAAGAAGTGGGTGGTTTTGATTGTCTTTGGGGGACGACGTGAAGGCGTATAAAGCAAAAAGATTGGTGGTGATAACAGAGAAAAGCATGAGAATGTTCAGAGCTGATGAACATACTGTTGCTCTCTTAAATCTAGCTGTTCCATCTCCTATTTTCAGTGAAACTGAACCCATCTTACTCTCTGCTTTGCTTCTGCTAGTGTGTGAGAGAAAGTGAGTAATTGAAATGAAAGAGAGAGTGAAGGGTATTGAAAGTGAGATTTGTGAAGTGGCAAGTGGAGATTTTTCTATTACATAATATAATCAAGAAAAAATAAATATTAATGCTAGTCCTGTCGGTTACACAACAATTATAATGAATTCAAGGTGAAACTCGATTATCACTATTGTATTAGTTTTTTGTGTTTAAATCGGCTTAAATATATGTACTTTCATCTTGTCTTGTGACAGGAAATTCTAATTAAACTCAACTGTAGAAGATGATAAATCCTGGACCTGGTGGGATAGGATTAGGAGTTACAAAGCGCCACATTCTTTCTTATGGACGGTACACTTGTAAACATCAAGAATATAGAGGACCCACAATTGTGCATACGACAATCCCACAACACATCCTCGGTAAAGGGACGTGATAATCATCCCGTGAAGATTAGACCATCTATCTACCCCAGTCAAAAGTCAGAACTTCAACGAATCCAACTCATCCACCTTCAATTTGGGTCCTCCTCTTACTTGGACGAACAGTCGAAAACCCATTCAAGAGTAAAGGGCCTTGGCGACATAATTTTCGCCTTTTCCGTTATCAAATATACAAATGGTTCTATATTTTAATGTTGTTAGATCTCATTACTCCTATAAAAGCTAACCAGAACCTCAAGCTTTTCCAAAAGTTTGGAAAATTTGACAATAAAATAAGCACATCTTAATCTTTGGGGGAAATTTGGCTTCAAAGACAACTGCTTACCTCTGAAGAAACAGAAAGTGCATATGGACCTCGCAATTACTAGTTATCCCATCAAGCATTCTCAATTGGTATGTCTTACTTGCTACATCAATTAATGAAAAAAAGAGTTATCATATCATATGATGCTTTACCTTCAAGCATTAGGCTGTTTGTTGCATCATGCTTCCTGTTTATAGTATTCCTACCACCTTAGGAGGAAGTTAAACAAGATGAAAGTTTACCTACTTCCCCAATGATGGCAAAGAGGGAGTGATTTTTTTTATCATTCATTGTGAAAAAAGATTACAATAGCTCCACATATATAACAGTTACAGAGCTTTGTCTAAGGCTTTAGACAATTAAACAAGTCTGTATAAAAGGAAATTATACAGCTCTATCTAATGTCTAAAGATATTACAACGGTGATTTTAAAATGAAAAAACACTCAACCATTAGGAATCACCAATTTCAGCATATATTCAGCTTACTTAACACGTCATCTGTCTCCTTGATTTCCTTGTCTTTGGCAACAGAGTGTGAGGCGAAATCTGAGATTGAAATTGGTTAATTTAACTGATTATAAGTAAATCACATATCATGCTCGTCTTTTACTCAATCGCCAAGAATTAGGTTCATGATATTTATCATGTAACGGTTCGATGCGTTCTCTACATTTGCGCTTGCTCAATGTTGTGGGATTTGCCACCTTGAAGAATCTAGGTGCCAGTTCTGTAAGCCACTTTGGATCTATAGAAGTTACGTTGCGCATGTACTCTTTCGTAGTCATTATTAACTCATTGTAGATGACCCAATCTGGTTGTATTTGGAAGAGAGCACTGCTTGGGTGGATATAAACAGGCTGATTCTCAACTAAAGTCCTATATCCCTCTTGTGGGTCTTTTCTGGCGACATGAAAAAAGAATCCAGCGATAATTGCCTTTGTTATTTTTGTGGTATCTTTTCCAGCACTCACAACATCCAATTTATATCTGAAATAAACAAAAAGTTTTAGCACATGTACCAAGCATAAGTTTAATATATGGGTATATATGAGAAGTGTAACACACTAGAGAGAAACAATTAGAAAGCATGTGATCCAAATGACGCCAATCACAAATGTTTCATATATATGAGAATCGTTAATGGTTGCCAGTGTACCAAACTATAGAGAAACAATTGGAAAACGTATAATTGCCTGTCCCAAGTGAACACACATTCAACTACTGCAAATTGAGAGCACCATTATTCCAATTAATTAGCTTTGCTTCCTATACTTAAAATTATTAAGCACATCCTTTGTAATTATACCCCTTTATCAGCAATTATACTTAGAAATCACCTCACATAAGTCACTAAATCATGGCATTTTAGAAGGAAAAGACTGCAAAGACTAAAATGAAAATAATATAAACTTGAAACTACAAAAACTTACTTGTCCATGATGGAGAGAAGTTGTTTCCTGACATCCTGTGCCCTCCTCAAGGATTGAGACTGAACAAAATTCTCAAAACACCAAGGCAAAGAGAAGTTCTTGGCTTTCCAAGCCTCATAAACAGTAAGCAGAGTAAAATTGTCTCCTTCGGGCTGGAAAAACTTGGCTCTCTTCTGATCTGCTTGAGCTTGTTTTTCCCTTGGCCTGTGGAAGATGTTGCCAGTTTGAATCAGGGCAATGATTGTTATTATCTCATCACTGCTCCCAAGGCTGACACTGGCTAGCAACATCTTCGATAATGGCGGATCTAGAGGAAATTCCGCCATTTTTGTACCCAATTTTGTCAGAAGTCCCTCCTCATCGAGCGCTCCAAGACTGAACAACTGTTGCATGGCAGAAATGAGAGCTTGGGGTGGAGGGGAATCCATAAAATCAAAAGAAAAGAGATCATTTATTCCCATAGCTTTTATTGTAAGTGTAGTTATTCCAAGGTCAACCCTTTGGATTTCTGGAATTGTACTAGGGGACATCTCGTTGCGATACGCACTTTCTGTGTACAGGCGGTAACATTTTCCAGGCCCAGTACGCCCGGCACGCCCAGCTCTTTGCTTCGCTGATGCTTGTGAAATTGCAGTTATGACTAGTGATTCAACCCCTTGCTTCGGATTATAGACATTTTGTTTTGCAAATCCAGGATCAATAACATAATATATCCCATCAATAGTCAAAGAAGCCTCAGCAATATTAGTGGCCACAACCACTTTCCTACCCCCTTGAGGGGCAGGTTCAAAAATTTTTGATTGCATTTCACTAGGGAGGGCACTATAAGCTGGCAAAACAAGCAGTTCAGGAACATTTTTTCCCAATCTTTTGATTCTCTCATGAAGAGATTCACATGCAAAATCAATCTCCTCCTGACCAGTCAAGAAGAGAAGGATATCTCCTTCAGGTTCTGTCAAGTGGATCTCTAGGACAGTGATCAGTGCTGCATCTAGATAATCGCTTTCTGGCTGTTTGGAGTAGAATATCTCAACAGGGAAAGTCCTTCCAGGAATTGTGAAGATGTTGCAGTTGAAGAAATATCCTGAAAATTTCTCTGCATCTAATGTGGCAGATGTAACAATCAGGCGAAGGTCAGGTCTCCGTTTCACAAGCTGCTTAAGTAACCCAAAAAGAACATCGGTGTTGATTGTCCTCTCATGAGCTTCATCAAGCATAATGACTGAATACTGAGAAAGATTTTCATCTATCAAAATCTCTTTGAGAAGCATACCATCCGTCATGTACTTGATCACAGTATCAGCTCCAGTACAATCCTCAAATCGTATAGCGTACCCAACATCCTCCCCCAAACGACAACCAAACTCTTCAGCAACTCGCTTGGCCACAGATGTTGCAGCGACCCTTCGAGGTTGAGTACATCCAATCTTACCTTTTGTTGTGTAACCAGCCTCCGCAAGATACTGTGGTACTTGGGTAGTTTTACCTGAACCAGTCTCACCGATTACAACCAAAACCTGATTATCATGCACAGCCTGAATTAGTTCCTTCTTGAGTTTGTAAATTGGCAAGCTCTTCCTCTGTTCCTGAATGGAGAGCTTTGATCTGTGTCCAAAAGTCAATGCTTTTCCGTATGCGTCCTTCTTCCATTCGGGCATGTTAGAAGCTGATAAACCAACACCCCTAAGCTCATCTGCAAGATGTCTATCACCAGTTTCCGGTATCGGATCTTCCCAAGCACGGTTCAGATCCTTTGGTATTGAATCAAACATTGTCTTCTGCTGTTGTCCCCTCAGTTCTCTCCGCTCCTTGATGAGAGCAGATTGGAGAGCAGCAGAACGGCTCAGAGACCCTTCTGGATTCTTGAAGATTTTTACAGGTGATATGTCAACAGAATACTTAGAATGCCCATTTAAAAATGCTGGTTCATCCTCGTTCAGTTCAATCTCAAGCTCTTCCTCAGCATTCTCCTCTTCAGAAGCCAACCCATCTCCTTCCTCATCATACATGGTATACTCATTCTCAGCCAAAACCCCTGAAGCAATCAACTGTTTCTTTTCCCACTTCTCCAGTGAGCTCATTCTCTTCAGCTGCTGGCGCGACCGGACAGCATCATCCTCCTCAAGATCCATCCTAGCTATAGGCCCTGATGCATTAGCCCTGAACTTATCATCCACGGAGCTCTTCTTTAGCGGAAGTAAGTCCTTACCAGTATTCTGATTGATATCCCTCATGGAAAGACTCAACTTCCCACCTGAAACCGAAATCACCTTCGCATAAACCTCCTGATAAGGCTGCAAAACATCTTTGGCATTACCAATTCTCCTACGTGAAATCTGCGAAACATGAACCAAACCCTCCTTACCCTTTAAATCCCTCAACTCAACAAAACAACCCGTCTCCATCACTCTTGATACTGTCCCTTTATAAACCATATACAACTTGGGATCCTCAGTTTCTCGACATCGATTACCAACATCAACTTCAATTTCTTTCTCAAGAGCACTGTACTTGATCTTCTCACCATCACTGCCTCTCTCTTTCTTTAACTTCTCATCTGAATTTCGCTTCTTACCCGGAGGAAGAATGGCGTGAATGATAGTTAACAATGTACGGACAACGTAATCAGGCAACTCAGCTCCATTTGCTTTCAATTTAGTATCAAACCTCTCCACTGTTTCGCAACTACGGCCTAACTCGCAGAGGAACTCAGCCAATACCTTATCTCCAAAGCCTAGATGTGTTTCCAACTCAGAACAAATCTTAGAGACAAGGGACAGATATTCTAGTTTCTTAAAAGCATCATCTTCTATAACCATCGTTCCAGATGAAAAACACACACACAACACACACACACACACACAAAAAGATTTGGAGAGTCTTCGTGTACCTGATCGAATATGGCTTACAAAACTACAGACTCCTTGTGTTGCAGGGAATCGAAACTGGATGGAGGCTTTTAAGATCAACCTTTTGTCAACCTTCTTTGGATCATTCGTGTCTGGTTCATGGACGGTTCACTTGCGCGCCAAGTAAGAAGTTGCCAAGTCGGACGTTTTTCTTATGCTCCGACTTATTTTTCTGAAAAATAATTTAGGGGACTGCTGAAAAAATTCTCCCCAATAATCACATATTGGATTTAAAAGCTGTATGGGATTATTTTACTACATGTTATCTTCAAAAGACAATTTATTTAAGAAAAACCGATTTTTCTTTTTTATTCTTTAACTCGTGATACTTGAGCCCTCGTTTGGATCATATAATATTTTAATATATAAATATATTATATTAATTAAAAAAAATCATAGGAATATTTAGAAAATATGTTTGATTGATTTGAATAAATGGATGAGTATGTTATATAATTATTAAATTGCATTCTTTTTTAAATATTAATATAATAATATTTTTTATTATTATTTTTTGAATCACTTTTAACCCCCATCATTTAAAATTTTGCTAAAACACTCAAGTCATATAAAATTTTAATTTATAACAAAATCACTTTCACTCAGCCTAAGCCACTACCGACAACCAACCACCACCGTCGATAGTCAACGAAATCGGCAAAGTCGAAAATGGTCATGGATTACAAATCCATGGTCGGAAAACGACCACATTTGTGACCATGAAACAACCATAGAAATGCCAAATCTAATTGTTTTCGACGATGAAGAAAATGCCTCACTGGTGCACGACCAGTCAGATCCCGCCGGTCGCGCACCATTACGGCGACTAACGTCGGTGGCCGACGGTGGTTTTGAGTGATTAGAGGTATTTTGTTAACTTTTAAACTTTTTTATGGTTAGAGTGTTTTAGCTAATTTCTCAAATGTAGGGCGGTTGGGCTAATTGTTATTTGGTAGACATTTGAGGATAATTGTGTCTGAAATGGTTTTTAATTAAGGACAAAATGAGTAGAAAAATCATATTACTCTAATAATGTTTTAATGACACTCCCTGATAAGGTAATAAGATTACCCCACACATTACCAAAAGTAGCCACTATTTGCAATAAAAGATTCTCGTAATATTTTATTACATACAAACCAAACACAATATTCTTACAAAATAAACAAAGATTACCCCCGTTATCTTATTTACCCCCAATCCAAACGACCTCTAAAAGTTAACAAGCAAGCCTTCCAATGAACACCCTATTAACAACTAAATAATACACTTAAAGAACACTTATAGCTCCACCCGAATTAGGGATATATAGCTCTACCTGTAGATGTTCAGACCCTGGAAGTTAACAACCAGATAAACCTTCCAATAAACACCCCTATTAACAATCAAGTAATACACTCAAGAATTCTCATTGTTTCACCCAACCACCCAAAAGTGGTTAAAATGTTGCTGTATATTATATTTAAATTATTACGTAAATTTTAGAAAACAAATAACATTTCTTATTTTTTAATTTTTAATTTTTTAACATACAACCCACCAGAGTTTTAGTTCATCAACAACTGAATCAGGTTGAGAGCGTTTCACGTATCTGCTGCAAACGGACAGCAGTAATTGTTTAATTCCTGAATAACTTTCTCATAATTATTTTTCTTTCCTGAATACAAACAAACAAAAAGAAAGAATTAATATCAATATACAACATTGAGTGGTGGAAGACCTTCTGCATCAAGCCATCAACCATCAAATTATTCCATTAAATCACGAAAAAAACACTAAGCAGAAGGGAATCAACTAAATCATAACAACAATTCTTCTTCTCTCTATGAAGATAATGTGAATTCCAATAGTTCAGATGATAAACTAGCAGCACTTATATCAAGATCATCCTTGCGCTCTTTCAAAAGGAAAAGCAATAATGAGAATTCTAATAGCAAAGATAGCAAACCAAAATTAACTACCAACACCATGTTCAAGAACCGTCGTGTTCAAATGCATCAAATTTGAAACAGGAGCCCCACCTCTCCTTATTCCATTCTATGAACAGCTCCTCAGTGATGTGCCTTGGCTTCCGCTTTCTTGTGTGACTTTGCCTTCATCTGGTTAAAAGAAAAAAAAAAAAAACAAAAAAGAAAGAAAGGAAAAAGGTTAAATTTTACAAACAAAATAGATCGGTAATGGGCTGCAATGCTTTTCACACATAAACGTTACAGAATCCAAAAATCTCTCAGTTATTCCCATCCATAGCTTATACGAGGACCAGATATGTCAAACAAAATAATTTCAGTGGAGTGACAATACCCAACTTAGCACTGTAATATAAATTTTGGAATGTAATGTCCTCCTTTACTGATAACAATACAGAAGAATAGATTTCTAAATCTCTGAGAATTTCACCACCTTAGCCAAGCTTCATTCAGGATATTCTTAAACTAAAAGATCACAAAGAATCATGATGCATAACACCTTGAGGATGCATGTGATGAAAGTATTTAACAAACCCATAGTCATTCAATACCAGTTTCATGAGACGGTAAACTGATTTCCAATGTAACTCCTTTCCTAGTAATGGTGACCAGACAAATTCTCATATATTAAAAAGAGTGATAAACCATGTCACCATTGTCCAATGATTCCTCAGGAGAAGGGGTTCTCTCCTATCTTTTGATTAGGAAAGCGGCGCATACCAGGGGGTAGCAACACATTACCAACAGTTCAAAGACTTCTAAACTACATGTGAATCCCTGATAGGCTGCATTGCTTTTTTCATACTGGAACTCTGACAATGGAATTTGTCTTAATAGCTCTACAATTGATATCAACTGCAACGGTCACACCAAATAGTTCTTTAATCTTGTCTCTAAACCAACAAATATTAACAAGAGGAGTCCTAATTAAGTTTCAATAAGCTTCTCAAGCAAAACCCAGTATGCATTGCAATTTTTCTATTCTAACGCCAGGCACACCCCGTGAATGTCCTTATCGATACAATAAGTATAAATCATGTAGTAAAATTTTATTTCCTAAATTAAATTTAACCGAGATTACTAATCTAATTACCTAAAAAACTAAAAATAATTACAATAAAACATAATTAGATCTAAGAACGCATCACAATATCAGAATTCAAAATCACAGATGATTTTTAAGAATCAAAGATGAGGGATGACCTTAAGAATCTTGAGCTTCATATTACCATAAACCGCACCAAAACTGAAGGCCGACACACGAGCCACCTACACAAAAAGAAACCCGATAAAAAAAAAAAAAAAAAGGTCCCACAAAGGCACAAACTAATAAAATGAAGTCATGTAGAACAGTCGATTAAACCTTTAGTCCCATTTTAATTACGCTAATTTTGCCATTTATTAGCAGATGATAATTTATGTATTAAATAACTGATTAAAGTTTCAGTATGAGATTAACAAGTGAAATTGATCACCAGGGCGAGCGTGCTGGTGCCGGAGTAAGGTCCAGGAGGTGGCACCATTGGACGATAAATAACCGAAAACTCTTCGAGTGGGGATGGCTGTCGATTCCAATCGAACTGACTTCAGAATCTTTCTGTTTCAGTTTTAAATCTGAGTGGGTTTCCCAACTAACTTATTGGGCGAGTTCGTAAAGGCCCAGTAACAAGGTCCAATAGGCCCAGTTTTATCTATGTACTTTCAATCAAAATAACAGTCAAAGAATAAATTGGGTAGTTTTATCCAATAGGCCTTTAAAATATATTACTTTTATAAAATGTAGGATAAACTTACTCATAAGTCATAACTGAAGGAAGGGGACAAAAAGTTTTTAAGTCATCGGGGGTGTGACAAATGTTGCCGAGTTGGCAATGCATGAGACGGTGGATGCTTTTGATATTGTTGTGAGTGTGAAACTGGAATTCATCGAGGAGGTTTGATTGACATTGAAGAGAAAGTGAGAAAAAATGGGAGCATCACCGTCCACATCCCACAATGTTCCCAATGAACAAAGAGAAGTGGAAAGTTTAGCAGCTTCTACAGGATCACTTCCTGTGCTTCAAAATGCTTTCTCAAAGCTTCATCATCCTCAAACTAATTTACTTCCTCGCCGCACTCTACAGGTTCGTTACATTACATTACATTGCTCGCTTTGTTGGTAAATATACTCAAAAGTCTAAATCTTTAATTAGGTTTGTATATGTTATCTTACGTTATCTCACTTACGGAATTTAATCTGTTTCAGCAATGTTTTAATTTGAATTATAAAAACCCGAATTCTGAAGCACCCCTTGTGGTTAATTCCATTTGGAGTTTGTTGGATCATGTGGGTGTATCCATAGCAGATTTATTCTTTGTGCCTGAAAAGGGAGGATTAAGTTGGGTTGAGTTTGTGAAAGGTTATGTTAAGTGTTGTGGAAGGATGCCTACTTCAATGGTGCTTAATACTTTGTTGAGAATATTCTGCGCAGCTGGTACAAAGGCAGGACTGAATTTGAAATTGGAATTTGAATCTGATGATGCTGATTGTAAGGTGGGTGGGTATCTTCTGCCTGTTGATGTGCTTATGATTTTTTGGATGAGCTGGACTCTGTTATGGGATTCTAGAACTCGAATAGTTTCGGAAGAAAAAGTAGATCTTTGGCTGCCAGATGTTAATCATTTGGTATTGTCGGCTGTTATGTCGTGTGCTGAAGTTGGCAGTGATTTCAATGTATGGGATTGCAGTGTTGCTGACTTGGAAGTTCAGCTTCCTGCAGGAAAGTTTCTTCAATGGGCCTTCAAAACAGTGCCAAGTCTCACCGAGTGCTTTACCAAATTTGTCAATGCAAGACTACATAACTGTGTTGCCTTAGAGGTATATAATTTATCTTTTCCTTCTAGTTAGCTAGCTTTCGTGAATTCTCATTATCCAAATACCAAGTTTTGGTTGACTTGGTTTTTTTCGCTGGTGTATTGTGAGCGACATGATTGATTGTTATGCATATAAGCGCATGAGATATCCCATGTCTGAACACTGATGGATTGCAGACTTTTCAGGACTTAAGACTCCAATTGAGGATTAAGATATTAGTTTATCTAAACAAAACTCGCTATCTGAATTGTGCATTCAAACAATTGAACAGTTTGCATTAAAACACTATCTGCTGCTAATATATCATTGGTGGGATAACTATTTTGTGAAAAATGGCAGAATGCTTTGGGACCCTCTATATCGTCTTTAGGAGATATCTCTTCGACAAAGGCACGTGATAATTATCTTCTATCCCGGGGAAGGGCATTCTCAATTTCCCTTACATACAGAACTGTATGTGAAGAGGTTTTGAAACTATGCTGTCCTATTAAGAGTGATGAAACAGATGAAAATCTTGTCTATAAGTATGTCATCTTTCCCATCTCATCTTGTTATGACTTATTTTACTTGCATGTTGCGCAGATGAATACTCTTGTTATTGATTTCTTAAATCTAATGAATTGTCAGCTTAATCTATAATATTGCTTCTATTGCTTAAGTTGTTGATTGCATGAGTTGTTACTTAGCTTCTTGACAACTAGAAACAAATCTCTCCTCTGATTGAGATTGTAATTGTATGTCCATGTTTGGCTGGGTCTTTATTTTCCGGGTTTTACTTGTCAAATTTGCCTGTGTAGTTGCTTGCTACTACATTAAATCTTATTTAACATTACTTTGTAGGTCATCTCTCCATGGCAAAGGCCTGAACAGGTTCTGGTCTAACATTGAAGGTTACCATGGTCCATTGCTAATTTTGGTCTCTGCTAATTCTGGAGATGCCCATGGGGGTGATGCCAGTGACAGGAAATGGATCATAGGTGCACTTACAGAACAGGGATTCGAAAATAGGGATGTGTTTTATGGAAGCGCAGGGAATTTGTATGCTATAAGTCCAGTCTTCCATGCTTTCTTACCTTCTGGTATGTTGAGGGGAATATGTGGAATCTTTTCTTTTTCAGGACTGATGTGCTAAAATCAAGTTGCTATAAACATATTTAATTTTATCACAGTCAATGAACTGACTGCCTAATTATGAATTCATTTATAGCGAAGGAGAAGAACTTTGTTTACAGCCATTTGCATTCAACTGGTAAGGTTTATGAACCACATCCGAAGCCTGTGGGAATTGCATTTGGAGGAACCATAGGGAATGAGAGAATTTTTATTGATGAAGATTTTGCTAAAGTTACTGTTCGCCATCATGCAGTTGACAAAACTTACCGACCGGGCTCCCTTATTCCATGTCAGGTATTGATGCTTATGAGAAAGACAATTAAAGCTAATATTCATTTTTGATAACAGAATTTGAACCCTTTAAAATTGCCAATTATTTATCGTTTTTCCATGCCAAAATTTGAAGTTTTTATAACATTGTAAATATAAATCAGAATGAGATGATATTTTAAGATCTGAGCACTATGTTGATTTCCTTTTTGTGTCTTTAATTTTCAACTTTTTGACTGACATTGCTCAATGTTTCTATGGTGCATGTGTCAAGAAACTCTGAATTACTAGTTTCATACTTTATTATCCGCCACTTATTTCCCATATTTCACTCGAATATTCTTTAAACTTAATTGCTTATGCATATCGATGCCTTTAAAATTTGTTAATCACCATAGACAATCTGTATTTTGGTGCTTCTCTATTATTTTTGTGGAGATGATACATTCAATAACTGCAAGGTTGAGTCAGCAGCAACTATAATATATGTTTGGAATCCTTGCTTGATATGAACACTGATAGAACCACGTTACACCGTGAAAGATTCACAAGAACGGCTTCTAATGATGAACTTATATGCAGGGGTTTCTCCCAGTCGAAGCTCCAATTTCGGAAGTAGAAGTCTGGGGATTGGGTGGGAGCTCAGCAAAGCAATCCCAGAATTCATACAAGAAGAGGGAGGAACTTTTCACTGAGCAAAGACGCAAGGTAACCAACAGAAATCATTCAAGAAAATTTGGATGCTATTGACTGTTTGCATCTAAGGATTGGGTAAATTGCTCAAAATAAATGTTTGTTTTGCTTCTTTTGCAGGTTGACATGAAAACATTTGCTAGTTGGGAAGATTCTCCTGAGAAGATGATGATGGACATGGTATCGGATCCCAATGCAGTTAAAAGGGAAGATCGATAAGGTAATTTGTAAAGAATTAAGCTGTTCTGTGTACCCGGGGGTGATTGGTTTTATGTTCATGTTAGCGTTGTTGTAACTATAACAAGAGGAAAGTCAAACTAGCCAAGCAACTCCCTTTATATATCTGGATTGTGGTTGCACCGATTTCTGGAGGTGCACACTCGTCTGTAAGATTTGTTCTTTGTGTAAGCTTGTTTACGATATAACTAAATACTTAAAAATTGTGCATTGGTTTTTTTCACAGTACTAAGTTGTTTGGATCAGCTAAAGCCCCAAGGGCCATGCAAACCAAACTAATTTTTCTTAGTTTAATGTTGAATAATGGAAGTTTAGAAAAAGCTGCGAGTCTGCAAAACCGAACCAATATAAATTACCTACATAACAGTGATACGCGTGGAAACTTTTACGTTTTGAAACGTTAGCAATAACCAATATCCGTGAGCCTGGAATCCTAATATTCTGCTTCAAATTTCATCTTCTTGCTCTGCTGCAGGCTATAATTTTGCCAAATTTCACCAGTACAGAAAGATCACATTTTAGATGGAAAATTAAGAGTGAAATTAAGATGTAATGGAGGATCACATCGTGGTACTGTGAAGATGGAATTTAAGAAAGCGTGGTTCACATTTTGCTCAACAAACTCAACGGATCAGCACAAATAGATCAGTCTAAACCAGTTTTCTAAACCCAGACAGAAGAAAGCAGATTTCTATTTTCATATCAGATCAATTGTTGGGTGAATATCCACTTTTAGCTGGCCTCACTGGTTTAGAATCCATCAGCATATCAGAAATTCCAATCCCATCTCTCAACCAAACATATACATAAATCATACTCAAGTTGCTGGAAATCATATAGAAACCTAAAACAATATATTAAATCTTTAATCCTTGAAATTGCACATTGTCATGCCTATCAGTTAGTGCTTAATAGGCCCAGAAGAAGGTCTATCATAGTACAGTCCAAATTTGCTTATTATTTGCACCATCATGTTTGCCATAACAATTTCTCTTGCATCTAGAACATGAAAACAAAAGAACTGAGAGACAATTTCTAACATCCACAATTCATAATTCAGAGTCATCCAACAAATCAATCTGAAATTCTCAAATTCTTAGTGCTTAACTATAATAAGAACATAGATGTTAATAAAGATCAAAACTATGTTTGGAGTTCTCTCACAAAAATGTACGATTTCATGGTTGGCCATCAATAGTGATCTGAAACAAAATGTAATTGAGACAAATTACAGTATCACATCTTCTTCTCTTCCGCTTTCCTTGGCTGGAAAAAAACGAAAAAATGCATGGCAACATCAGAAGGCAGCATATAGCAAAAAGACTAAGAGAAGTGGGCATGGTAAAACACCCCACTACCCTATGACTGCATTACGGAGAGCATGGCAAGAACTAGACAGAGCACAGATTCCAACACTTTCTCTAACAGATAGCCTTTTACAGTCAAATCAATCTTCAGTCCAATAATCTTCTAATAGAAGATACAGTTACAATCATAATACATCTCATTACTGCACAGTTGCTAACATCAATGGAACAAGAAAATTTCAGGTTCGAAAATGGTAAAAGCAGTCATTTTTCCTATGTTATTTCCATAGCTATAATGCAGAATCAATTAACAAAAATAGGCTGTCTTGCGAATCATTAATTTCCAAAGACTTTGGAACTACACAGCTGATTATGTGTTTATATCATATCAAATGATGAATGATTATACACAAACAGAAAAAATGGTATTAGTTTCAGTACTTCAAATGCAGAGAAATGCCCAGAAATTACCTTTACATTTATTTGTTATTTATTAAAATACTAAATTTTCCTTTATACTTAACTGTAATTTTTTTTCCTTTAACTATTTGTGATCTTTCTTCAATTACTGCTCATCCTAAACATCCAAACAATCACTAAGACAAAGGGAAAACTATGATGAACTTAAAAGAAGGGTAGTGCAGAGAAAGAAAGAGACATAATATGATGAACTTAAAAGAAGGAGAATGCTGAAAAAGAAACAGAAAAACTATATGCACCAGCTACTCAAATCCAAACGCATCGACCCAATTATGATCCATTTAAGTGTTCAATACTATTACCTTGATTAATAAAGGGGGAAATATTTCGTATATTCTACTTCAAAGTAAAAGAATAGACCATTAACCTAACCTAATGAAACATACCACATGTTCGACGAAATGCCTAAAACAAATAGTTGTCATGCCAAAACCAAAAGTAGAAACCGTAAGTTATATAGAGAATCAAGTCCATGCTTTCGATTCAAAATCAAACCAAAAAACTAGTTCATAAGAAAATAAATCACACCAATTGTTCTACGAAATGCCACAAAGAGGACAATGGCACAAACCTTGGTACCCGGGGCAGGTTGACGAAGCTCCTCCTCGGGAATAACAACAGGCCATTTCTCACCAGCTTCCCGGAACATTTGCTCCGTCTCCAGATAGTGACCCTTATCAAGAATCATGGTCCTGATGGTCTGGGCAGGTGTTGACGTGGCATCGAATACCTCCTCAACACCATTAACAAAAGTGACGGTGATCTGTGGCGGTTGATCATCGGTTCTCCGCTTCACCTGGACCTGGCAAGCTGGGTTGGATTCTTTAGCCTTGCGAGCGTTGCATTGGGCTAAGAACTCCATGCACGATGCTATGCGTGGGTCCAAGGCATTGAACTCAATTCGTACCTTTGAAAGGAACTTCAACATTTTCCCACTCTCTTCTGTATTCTATTCTCCGTTATAAGCCAGAGAAACTGAGGTTTAGTTGTACAGAAATCGGGGGAAGAAGAGACCACGGACTGTNAGAAACCGTAAGTTATATAGAGAATCAAGTCCATGCTTTCAATTCAAAATCAAACCAAAAAACTAGTTCATAAGAAAATAAATCACACCAATTGTTCTACGAAATGCCACAAAGAGGACAATGGCACAAACCTTGGTACCCGGAGCAGGTTGACGAAGCTCCTCCTCGGGAATAACAACAGGCCATTTCTCACCAGCTTCCCGGAACATTTGCTCCGTCTCCAGATAGTGACCCTTATCAAGAATCATGGTCCTGATGGTCTGGGCAGGTGTTGACGTGGCATCGAATACCTCCTCAACACCATTAACAAAAGTGACGGTGATCTGTGGCGGTTGATCATCGGTTCTCCGCTTCACCTGGACCTGGCAAGCTGGGTTGGATTCTTTAGCCTTGCGAGCGTTGCATTGGGCTAAGAACTCCATGCACGATGCTATGCGTGGGTCCAAGGCATTGAACTCAATTCGTACCTTTGAAAGGAACTTCAACATTTTCCCACTCTCTTCTGTATTCTATTCTCCGTTATAAGCCAGAGAAACTGAGGTTTAGTTGTACAGAAATCGGGGGAAGAAGAGACCACGGACTGTGGGTTCTTTTTAAGTTAAAATACCGTGGAGGCACGGACCGGCCGGCGAATTTTCATTTAGAACCATTTTTCAAATTTTTCTATTTACTTCATTTTGTTTGTTGATATATTTTTAAATATTATTTGCAAATACAAGGCAAACATATTTTCGAAATTACAAGCAGAAATATTTTTGCATTGGTTCCCATGGAAGAAGATAAATTTTATTTATAATTAAAAATAATAATAAAGACCACTCCGAGGGAAATGAAACTTAGGAGATAATATGTCATGACAATAATGAAAATCCTCGGTTGAGATCGTCAAATACAAGATCCTCATTCTCATCCCGTAACTCAAATCCTGATTATAAATGCAACAAAAAAAGTATTGAAATGAAATTACACTATTTGCAACAAGAGCAAGCCAAAAGTGATATTTTTTTCTTTTTTTGGGGGATTTTTTAACTGCTAATCTCCCTATCCATTTTCATTCTCTTGGCATTTTGCATCTCAGGTATGTTACTGCCCCGTTGCTGGGACGATGGATCATGCTGGTATGCACAATTGGCCCCATGACGGCATCCCCTTGAACTGTTAAAATAAATACAAGGCTTCATTATTTTGGGCTTCGAATCTCTAGATTTGGGGTTATTTATTAATTCTTGGTTGGTTCCTGAATGGTGAATGTATCGGCTACCAAATTGCTGAGTCTGTGGAATTTCTTGTCTTTCCCCACCATGCTGCTGAATCAAGTTCTTATAGTAGTTCATGTCTTTTGTTTGAGAAACCCCACAGGAAGCCGAAGATGAAGATGGAATAACCCCAGGTGGTGGTTTAACCCATGCATTAGGAGGATGCCCCACTCCAACCCCATTTGGTTGAGTATAAAAAGCTCCACTTGAAGTAGCCACTATTGAAGGTGAACTTGTTTCCATCATGTTCACACGAAAAGGAGGTCGGTCGGTTAAAGGAACAGGAGGAACAGGAGGAACAGGAGGATGATCTGACAATGATACTGGAGGCAAAGTTGGCTTGGGTATATTCTGCAGTTTGGAGGCAGCTCCATGATCAGTCACTAATTTTTCGATCAATTTTGGGTTGCTGAGGATTTTAATGAGCAAGTCATGGTCAATCAAATTGACATGCTCATTGCTCTTTGTCATTTCATTCAAGGCAGCAGATGCAGCAGCAACTACTTCAGGGTCAACACCCAAGGCCATTCCAGATGCTGCTGGTTTCTCATTGACAGCAGTGTTTGACACACCAAGTATGTTACCCGGAGGAGGTGCTGGAATTCCAGGAGGCAAAAGTGGGGGCTGTGAGCTCATCGAAACATTAAATGATGCCACTGAACCAGATGGTGTGTCTGCTGCAGCTTCTTCATCTTCAATGGGAGTAATGGGTATCAGAGGAGTTTGCTGATCATTGTAATGCGCACATTCTATGTCCACTGAGACAGAGGGGCTGTTAAGAGAGGAAAAAGAAACATTTCAGTCAAAGGAAAATAGAATCCAAGATGGGATGAATGCTACAGAAAACTAGCAGAATTTCCAACTTTGGAGGAATGGCAGATGGACGAGGATAAACAGCTTCAAGCACTCTCATCTCTCTTTGATTTTGAATCTCCACCTCTTTGCTTTCATCCCCAGCAACCACTTGCCAATTAAGGTCCAAACGAAACTGTAATAAGAACTCAGTTCAGCTTATAAAATATTACTGGCAATAAATAACAACGAAGTTCAGCTTATAAATATTACTGGCAATAAATAACAAAGTTCAGCTTATAACTATTCAAGCGAAAGCAAGTGGTCAAAATTACAAGCTGAAACTGTGATTTACCCTGGGAGGACATCTCCATTTGATTAGAGGAATTTCAGACAATTTAATTTGTAACTGGTTTGGAGGATGAGTTCCCTCGAAACCAGGAGGAAGAAACTCATCACTGACCACTCCATTTGAATGCATTGGCCATGAAGACTTTGCTTGCAGGTGCTCCTGGGCACCTAACCCAACTTGTGAAGGAGACTCCTCCGACAAAAAAAGCCTCACCTATATACAGAGAAGCATTAGTTTACCCTTTAAATAGAACCTAATAGTCCAATTACACATCGACTTTAAACTTTCTCAGCAACAATAACAAAGTAACCTTGATGAAAAATATGACGAAGATAAAAATCAATACAGAATTCAAACATGCATTTTTATGTTATGCTGATACTGAGATGTAACTTATTGTTCATGAAATGTAAATCCAACCAAAGAAGCAATTTTAGATAGATAGAATAAAAAGCCTATATAATTTGTACCATCTCAATCTAAAGCATTACCATGGCAAACCATGAACAAATCAATGCTCTCTAATTCTCTACTTCCACATATATGTTCTGTGCACGCACAGCAAACTCAATATTGTCCAATAAAGGTATGCTACTCGCCAGCACTTCATAAGAGATAAACTAGAAACAGAAATCACTTATATAAACAAACAATTTGTCAAGTAATTAAAGTATACACTGCATCAAACAAGAACCAAATCAACCATCCATAAATGGAACTCCTCAGCAATATTAGGTAGGAAATTATAATTAGAAATTTAAGAGCAGGAGAGAAATCCCAGAGTTTGGCACGATCCAATTCAGGGAAAAACAATTCTCAAGCATTAATGTTGTCAAATACTTGAAAAAGAACATTCGGTTATATTACCGACGCCTAGAACAAAATTTGGCAAAGTTAAAGCACCGACCTTACATCCATTGTTATTAAACACTTAGTACTGTATATTTTCTGTCACAAACCAATTTCTTCATCTTGCAGAAATAATTGCCCATACAAGATCCACCTAGCACTCTAGTAAATTCCCTATACACTTTGGCAAATCACATGCCATCAAATATTTCTCACCACTTCAAAATGTACTAAATTGTTTTTTTTTTTTTTTTTTTTTTTTTTTTTTTTTTTTTTCCTTTTCTTGTATACTTCCAAATTTAATTTTTTTAAATATTTAAAAAAAAAAAATCCAGCTTTGTTCACAGTGATTATCTTATTCAAGTTTCAGATAGTTTTAAATAGGCATCCAGTCAAGTGCCTGGACCAAGTTGGATTCATCTTTGATGAATTTATGGCTTACCTCTCTCACCATCTTTGTTTCAGCCAAGAATGCATTAAAAAGTGTATGATAATTAGCTTCTAATACAATTTTTTCTGCATTTATTTGCAGATAAACTGATATTATCTTCTTTTCATATTTTCATCCCATTATACATCTGAAACAAAGTAGGCCTATTATCAAAACATTACCCCATCACTTTGAGATGAAAATGTACATGAAAAGCACATCTCATATTTTAGTCAATTTTTGCTAACAAACTTCTGATAGTGGCAACATTTTGAGATTACTTCACAGGACTTGCAATTTGCATGATCATAGTAACGATTCCACATTCCTACAATTTGGCAACCTGCTAATTCAGAACAGAGCCAAAGCTGCTAATGAGTTCAGTGTACTTTCATAGTCAAACATTCTTACTCAAATTCAGTTAAACTTAAAACAGGCTTGTTAATTGATCTAAACTATTAGTAACATAACATCAATTACATAGCATTTCAACTTAGCTTGAAATTCAGAGAATGCATTGAGTTCAAACCCAACATCTGAACTTCCAGTTGAGTTTACACCAAAGGCAATTTAGCAAATTATATAATTAAAATTCAAAAGAAGCACAACAACACGTGATTTCACAAGGAACTTCAGACGCCAAATATAAATAACTTCAATGCTTAACTTGTTCAAAAACTAGTTTTAGAGATCAAAACTTGTGGTGGTAAAAAAGCTTCAATGCAAACTGCATTTCCAGTCCATTCACAATGTAAAACAATATATAAATCTTCTATCCTAGCAAACTTAACTTCAAAAAATCTACTCATCTAATTCAATTAAGGGAAACACCATTATTGCATAAATCCCATTGATGCATGAACCCAGAAAAGTTTCAGATATAGAAAAACCACACACCGCAAAGCAATATAACAAAAATATCCGATAAACAGCATAAAAATAAGTTTTCACAAGGACTGTATCGGTTTTTAGGTTCATCGATTTTTTTTCTTTTATCACCTTAATCCCAACAGATACTCATCAAATTCGTCAAAATTGATAATCTCTTTTACCTGACAAAGATTTACATCTGATGCCCAAGAAACCCTTTTCGATTTGTGCAATCCTCGCATATTTACAATATTCTCAAAATAACTTCTTTTCCAGCTTCGATTCTCAGTATATGTTTTTATAGTACAAGTACTGTTTTTTTTTTTTCAATGCAAGAATTTCCTTTATTAGGGTTTCTGTCAGATTCGAAACCCCAACTAGACGCTTCTTATGACTACTGTGTTTTAAAAATCTCTTACCCAATTTTGAGAACCCTAATAACCGTAAGATTTTTACAGGATAGAACCGTAGAGGGAGAGGCCAGAAAGACTGATCAGATATATAGATTTCTATATAACTTCATTGAGCAATAACTAGTAACGGAGAGATACCAGGAAACCCTAGATCCTCCGTATTCGCTGCTCTGCCGTTTCAATGTGTGACACTGTTTTGTTCCTTTTTCTCTTTTTCTATATCCGTTTTATACGCGAATGAATGGTGGAGACGGCATCCCCTTGAACTGTTAAAATAAATACAAGGCTTCATTATTTTGGGCTTCGAATCTCTAGATTTGGGGTTATTTATTAATTCTTGGTTGGTTCCTGAATGGTGAATGTATCGGCTACCAAATTGCTGAGTCTGTGGAATTTCTTGTCTTTCCCCACCATGCTGCTGAATCAAGTTCTTATAGTAGTTCATGTCTTTTGTTTGAGAAACCCCACAGGAAGCCGAAGATGAAGATGGAATAACCCCAGGTGGTGGTTTAACCCATGCATTAGGAGGATGCCCCACTCCAACCCCATTTGGTTGAGTATAAAAAGCTCCACTTGAAGTAGCCACTATTGAAGGTGAACTTGTTTCCATCATGTTCACACGAAAAGGAGGTCGGTCGGTTAAAGGAACAGGAGGAACAGGAGGAACAGGAGGATGATCTGACAATGATACTGGAGGCAAAGTTGGCTTGGGTATATTCTGCAGTTTGGAGGCAGCTCCATGATCAGTCACTAATTTTTCGATCAATTTTGGGTTGCTGAGGATTTTAATGAGCAAGTCATGGTCAATCAAATTGACATGCTCATTGCTCTTTGTCATTTCATTCAAGGCAGCAGATGCAGCAGCAACTACTTCAGGGTCAACACCCAAGGCCATTCCAGATGCTGCTGGTTTCTCATTGACAGCAGTGTTTTACACACCAAGTATGTTACCCGGAGGAGGTGCTGGAATTCCAGGAGGCAAAAGTGGGGGCTGTGAGCTCATCGAAACATTAAATGGTGCCACTGAACCAGATGGTGTGTCTGCTGCAGCTTCTTCATCTTCAATGGGAGTAATGGGTATCAGAGGAGTTTGCTGATCATTGTAATGCGCACATTCTATGTCCACTGAGACAGAGGGGCTGTTAAGAGAGGAAAAAGAAACATTTCAGTCAAAGGAAAATAGAATCCAAGATGGGATTAATGCTACAGAAAACTAGCAGAATTTCCAACTTTGGAGGAATGGCAGATGGACGAGGATAAACAGCTTCAAGCACTCTCATCTCTCTTTGATTTTGAATCTCCACCTCTTTGCTTTCATCCCCAGCAACCACTTGCCAATTAAGGTCCAAACGAAACTGTAATAAGAACTCAGTTCAGCTTATAAAATATTACTGGCAATAAATAACAACGAAGTTCAGCTTATAAATATTACTGGCAATAAATAACAAAGTTCAGCTTATAAATATTACTGGCAACAATTAATATTCAAGCGAAAGCAAGTGGTCAAAATTAAAAGCTGAAACTGTGATTTACCCTGGGAGGACATCTCCATTTGATTAGAGGAATTTCAGACAATTTAATTTGTAACTGGTTTGGAGGATGAGTTCCCTCTAAACCAGGAGGAAGAAACTCATCACTGACCACTCCATTTGAATGCATTGGCCATGAAGACTTTGCTTGCAGGTGCTCCTGGGCACCTAACCCAACTTGTGAAGGAGACTCCTCCGACAAAAAAAGCCTCACCTATATACAGAGAAGCATTAGTTTACCCTTTAAATAGAACCTTAGTGTCCGATACACATTCAAGCAACAATAACAAAGTAACCTTAAGTGAAAAATAATGACGAAGATAAAAATCAATACAGAATTCAAACATGCATTTTTTTATGTTATGCTGATACTGAGATGTAAACTTATTGTTCATGAAATGTAAATCCAACCAAAGAAGCAATTTTAGATAGATAGAATAAACAAAGCCTATATAAGTTGTACCATCTCAATCTAAAGCATTACCATGGCACAACCAATGAACAAATCAATGCTCTCTAATTCTCCTAACTTCCACATATATGTTCATGTGCACGCACAGCAAACTCAATATTGTCCAATAAAAGGTATGCTACTCGCCAGCACTTCATAAGAGATAATACTAGAAACAGAAATCACTTATATAAAACAAACAATTTGTCTAAAGTAATTTAAAGTAGTACACTGCATCAAACAAGAACCACTAAATCAACCATCCATAAATGGAACTCCTCAGCAAATATTAGGTAGGAAATTATAATGTAGAAATTTAAGAGCAGGAGAGAAATCCCAGAGTTTGGCACAGATCCAATTCAAGGGAAAAACAATTTTCAAGCATTAATGTTGTCAAATACTTGAAAAAGAACATTCGGTTATATTAACCGACGCCTAGAACAAAATTTGGCAAGTTAAAGCACCGACCTTACATCCATTGTTATATTAAACACGTTAGTACTGTTATATTTTCTGTCACAAACCAATTTCTTCATCTTGCAGAAATAATATGCCCATACAAGATCATAAACTACAATCCACCTAGCACTCTAGTAAATTCTCCTATACACTTTGGCAAATCACATGCCATCAAATATTTTCTCACCACTTCAAAATGTACTAAATTTGTTTTCTTTTTTTTTTTTTTTTTTTTTTTTTTTCCCTTTCTTGTATACTTCCAAATTTAATTTTTTTTAAATATTTAAAAAAAAAATCCAGCTTTGTTCACAGTGATTATTATTCAAGTTTCAGATAGTTTTAAATAGGCATCAGTCAGTGCCTGGACCAAGTTGGATTCACTTTGATGAATTTATGGCTTACCTCTCTCACCATCTTTGTTTCAGCCAAGAATGCATTAAAAAGTGTATGATAATTAGCTTCTAATACAATTTTCTGCATTTATTTGCAGATAAACAATGATATTATCTTCTTTTCATATTTCATCCTATAATCTGAAACAAAGTAGGCCTATTATCAAAACATTACCCCATCACTTTGAGATGAAAAGTACATGAAAAGCACATCTCATTTAGTCAATTTTGCTAACAAACTTCTGATAGTGGCAACATTTTGAGATTACTTCACAGGACTTGCAATTTGCATGATCATAGTAACGATTCCACATTCCTACAATTTGGCAACCTGCTAATTCAGAACAGAGCCAAAGTGCTAATGAGTTCAGTGTACTTTCATAGTCAAACATTCTTACCAAATTCAGTTAAACTTAAAACAGGCTTGTAATTGATCTAAACTATTAGTAACATTACATCAATTACATAGCATTTCAACTTAGCTTGAAATTCAGAGAATGCATTGAGTTCAAACCCAAATCTGAACTTCCAGTTGAGTTTACACCAAAGCAATTTAGCAAATTATATAATTAAAATCAAAAGAAGCACAACAACACGTGATTTCACAAGGAACTTCAGACGCCAAATATAATAACTTCAATGCTTAACTTGTTCAAAAACTAGTTTTAGAGATAAAACTTGGGTGGTAAAAAGCTTCAATGCAAACTGCATTTCCAGTCCATTCACAATGTAAAACAATATATAAATCTTCTATCCTAGCAAACTTAACTTCAAAAAATCTACTCATCTAATTCAATTAAGGGAAACACCATTATTGCATAAATCCCATTGATGCATGAACCCAGAAAAGTTTCAGATATAGAAAAACCACACACCGCAAAGCAATATAACAAAAATATCCGATAAACAGCATAAAAATAAGTTTTCACAAGGACTGTATCGGTTTTTAGGTTCATCGATTTTTTTTCTTTTATCACCTTAATCCCAACAGATACTCATCAAATTCGTCAAAATTGATAATCTCTTTTACCTGACAAAGATTTACATCTGATGCCCAAGAAACCCTTTTCGATTTGTGCAATCCTCGCATATTTACAATATTCTCAAAATAACTTCTTTTCCAGCTTCGATTCTCAGTATATGTTTTTATAGTACAAGTACTGTTTTTTTTTTCAATGCAAGAATTTCCTTTATTAGGGTTTCTGTCAGATTCGAAACCCCAACTAGACACTTCTTATGACTACTGTGTTTTAAAAATCTCTTACCCAATTTTGAGAACCCTAATAACCGTAAGATTTTTACAGGATCGAACCGGAGAGGGAGAGGCCAGAAAGACTGATCAGATATATAGATTTCTATATAACTTCATTGAGCAATAACTAGTAACGGAGAGATACCAGGAAACCCTAGATCCTCCGTATTCGCTGCTCTGCCGTTTCAATGTGTGACACTGTTTTGTTCCTTTTTCTCTTTTTCTATATCTGTTTTATACGCGAATGAATGGTGGAACACGTGTACTGCAGCGCGTCAACAGAAGGACCTAGTTAGGCTGTGGTGTTTTGTTACACGCGTTGTGATTGAGAATGGGTTTAGATTTTTTTTTTTTTTTGGTTGAAAAGAATGGGTTTAGCTTTTAATAGAATTGAGATTCTGACCACACTTTTTTTTTGGTTGAAACGACGGTAGATGATCAAAGTGTATGATTGGTCGGGTCAACAGTAGCTATAGCCTATAAGTTCTTGTCGGTCATGCAGATTGCCACGTGGATTGTTTTGTTGTTCAAGTTTATGGGCCTGTTAGATAAGGTATTAAGGTTTATCAGCGTTGTGTTTGGGTTTGAAACCAAGAATTTCTCCGAAGGAGAAGAGTTTAGTTCAACTTTTCTTAAGGCCTGTCATTCAACCTGATGGGAGAGAACTTGCAATAAGATGCGAGAGAATTTGTAATATGATAAGCTTATGTATAGTAATATTAATATATGATTGCTTCTAATCCTAGTAAGATATAAGGTAACCAAAAAGAAAGTCAATTTTATATTTTAAATCAGAGAAATTAATACCATTTAATTTTATTAATAATTTGTTTGATTCGTTTCTTTTTATGTTTCCTTAAGGTTGGAATACAATTACGATAAGGAATATAAATCCTATTATGAATATTAATTTGAGTCCCCATTGCAATTATCACTTGTTTTACGTACCATATTAAGATATTTGTGTCCCCTTTCTAGGTAACTGAGAAGTGATTCGACAAAAGGCTAGGTCCGGTGTCGACCTGCCCAAAGGCCTAAGCCAGCCTCTGGCTCTGAATAATCTGGACAAGGCTCCATATAGTTGTTCGAGTATAATTAAATTAACTTTATAGATGAAACTAAAATCATGGAAGAATGAAAACTAATCAATTTATTACAAAACAAGTGGGAAACAACAGCAGAAGCTTTCCACTTGATAGTCAATGTGTCAAACTTTCAGATACACATCCCAAAACATTTGTAACAACCCTATATAATCACACAAAACACTGTTGAACAAACACACAAGCATTCCTCTGGGACGAAAGTTTGAAAAAAAAAATGATAGAAAAGATTGGGTACTAAAAATATACATGGGATCCTGACTCCTTTTTTTTCTTTAATGTGTCCTTTCCTGCCATAATCCCATCTCGATGCATAGATCAGCTAATGCGCCATCAAATGCAAAAGAACTAAAGTGTAGATCTATATTGTGACCAGTCAAGTAGACCAACAATCCAATCCAATCCAAGTTTCTATCTGAACTGGTTACTAGCAGGACTGCCATCATGCTTCTCATCACTTTGTCCATCTCATCACCTTTGCCATTTTCTCTCTGAAACAAGCAAGAACCATGCAACCAAGTACAAAAGTCAGTGCTGTCAAGAAACCCCTATAAAAATTTAAAAAGAAAAATTACTTTTTCAGTAATAATTGTATCCTACAGGTGTTCGTGTTTTGTTAGTGTTGGCATGCCATAATGCTCAACCACCCCAGTGCTTGTCGAGACATCAATCCAGTAATAATAATACAAATAATAATAAACAGTGGTANGTTAAGGATTTTTTTTTTCCACCCAAGGTTCACTTTTCCACAAAAAAAAAGTTTCAAAATACCATTTCTCACCTAATGTTTATATTTTGTTAATATCCAAAATATACTTCACTTTCTCAGCCGGTGTTCGGCAAGTTATAAAGAGTTAGGGTAAGAGGGTTTTTGTAGAGTGGAGGCTAGTAGATCGAATGGTGGTGATCGATTGAATATTCTCTGTCGAAATCAGTCGAAAATAAGCTAAGAACAAGAAATCTTAACTTTGTAGTGGCTAGCAATCTGTGAGAAATCAAGTGTCATAGTAAGAGGGATTTTACAGAGAAGATATTGGAGGTTCAAATGGTAGTGACGGGAAGAATTTTCGCTACTAGAATCGGTCGGAATCGGCTTTGGGTAGTAATAGAATATTAACTTTGGGTGAGTAAGTTGTATTTTAAAACTTTTTGGGTTGGGATAGTGTCATTAAGGAAAACCTTGGGTGGGAAAAAGTCGTTTACTCTATTTCTTATGGCAATCAAACTTGATTAATGTTTTTCAGCTCATCTAGTTTGAAATATTATGATAGATTTTGCTTATTCTAATTAAATGAAAGAGACTGTTAAATTTAATATTGTGATGATCTAAGCCTATAGAGTCAACTATAAAATATGAAAATTATTATAATTTCCAAGAAAACGATAACAACATAATTTAGGATATAACTTTGATACGGAAATCGCATCACCCATCTACACACAGCATGCCTCCGAACTAGTGCCCACGAACAGCAGCTTGCAACTAACTACATTCTTAAGCTTAGGAGTTCTCTTTTAGCCTAGAAAACAATTTTGAAAATGGAAAAGTAAATATGATAATAACTAAAATTCATAAATCACATAATCCAAAACGAGGACACACCAAGAACCCTCGGACAGCAGCCTGAATGACAGTAACAACAGAATCATCAGGGGTGGAATCATGCTTGCTTTCGGTATCAGTGAAACAATGGTTCAGATACTTTCAATTCCACTGGAGTCGACAGCTGAGGTTTCTCATCAATGCACTGTACCATGGAGATTTTCTCTGGAACACTGGAGTTATTGGGTGGTTGGTAGTTGACATCAGCAGATTCTGGGCTCTCCTTTTTGGCAGATAAAGGGGTTTCTGATATCACAGTGGCTTAGCACTCGATGCCTAGCAGATCTCTTTCGAAAACTCCACCCACGTTTGTCATTTGCACCTTTGTTCTGTGTAAGATATTCAAATATCAATTAACTCTGTAGAAGAAGCAAATGAAATTGCAATACAACCACCGTCTTTCGCTTAGTGTCCAAATGAGAACTTCACAATGTCTAGCATGTAAAAAAAGGGCATTTCACATTGTACATATCACAATAGTGTACTCAAGGAGAACCGAGAGTAACAATTAGCTAAATGTGAACGGCAGCACCTGAACAATTCATAACAAATCTTTCAATCTAATTTTCTTGAGAAATGGTACATTTGATTTTGCATTTTTCCATTATGCAAACCATGGAATAATCAGAACGTGCTTCAATGCTCCAAGAATCTCAATCATGTGATCACTACATAACCTCGGTAGTGGATCATACTGTACATGCAAAAGACACAATTGGTGGAGTATAGTACAAGACCAGCAGAAAACTAATAATTAAGTCACAAAAGATTACTTGAAATTATCATCAGCAGGGACGCCAATGGGAGTTATAACCACGATCCTCAGAATTCTGATAACCATCACAATACAAATACCACACTCCACAATATCCAATATACTTTTTCAATCAACAAAAATAACAATATCTGCGTATACATATTAAATATCTAGCTAATTCTCCGGTTGGCTGCCAGTAAATCAAGTAAACGAAAAAACAATTCAACATCACGCTACATTTCACTTCTGTTAAAGTCGTCAACCAGTACTGGCTGAGTGAAAATTAATCGTTTACTCTGATAAACACTCTAGATTGTCAGATCTTAACATAACAAACTTAAATTATAACAAAACAGCTTTAACGTCGTCTAAACTCAGTAAACCATCAAATGCAAATCGAGACGACATAGAGAAGAAACAGAACTAGAAAAAATGAAAAGTCAAATGAATTGTGAGTAAAGAAAACAACAGTCAGTTAACCAATTAGATACCTCAGCAAAATCAAGATCATCTTTATCAGCTGAGTCGCTACCGCAGGTGATAATTTCAAACAAGAAGTGGATCTTCCCATTGCTTTTTTCTTATCTGTTTTCCTCGAACAGTCCCACAGACTTACTCTCTCACTCCCTCCCTCCCTCTCTCTCTCTCTCTCATTTCAGACAAGAGACCCATATTGTTGTGTTGTGCTGTGTTGGAAAATGTAACAAAGACACCACGGGCCTCAACGCACTCCTTAAATGTAGTTCACTTTGCGTTGGAATCGCTCTTAAGAAAGGCTGTTGCGGTGTTTTGCCCTGTTCGTTGAGATAGCGAGGAAAACGTCAGACTCTCTCTACGCACACCTTTTTTTTGTTTTATCCTGCCGTTGCTCAGGACTCGCGATAATTTACGTTCTTTCCACTCGCGTAAATTCCCGTTTTATCCATTTGCGACAAGATCTAATTAATATAAATTTGAATCTTATATTAGATATTAAATTATATACCTAATAAATAGTAAAAAATGGTACTATATAGTTAAATTATTGCCTTTTGTGTAAAAGACAAAAGGCCAATTAGATTATAGAGGATTAGGCTAAGATTAGCATTATGATAGCTTGATTTGAACTAATGGTAAAGTTGATTGCATGATGTGTTTATTGATTACTTATGAAAAAGGGTCCCATATCAAATATGGTGAGAAATTTAATTGATAATTGAGTCCAAATTGAAATATAAAGTTTTGTTTTGCTTTAATTATAAAAAAAAAAAAAATGCATGTTATCGTGAGACACACACAATAATTGAGAATTGATGAAATGGGGAAAAAGAGAAGGTGAGAGTGGGGCCTTTCATGTGAAGATGATGAAGATTAAGGAATAAAATATAAAACGGTTGTTTTAGGGGCAAACGGAGGTTGTCGAGTATCCCTCTGGCAAATAATGTTATGACACATGGTATCAACCACTAACCATCCATGACAGCTCTTTTGTCTTGACACGAAACGTGGATTTATGGGATTGCTGACACGTAATAGCACGTGGAGCCACCTCACTGTTAAGGGATGGTTAATTTTCACAAGGGATGCGCATGCTTCATTGAAGCAAGCGGGGATGCCTCGCCCCGGCCCACCCAGATAAAATTAATGCGTATATATTATGGCCAACCACCAAAAACAGTCTTATGACCTAATCATTCTAAATCCAGCAATCTCTATTCCCAGAACCCCCTTAATTAGAAGTCAAACCATGATTAATTAACTTAATTTCTCTCTTTCTGTGATACACAACAATCAAGTGAATCTATTTAATGAATTTATCATTAGTTTTAAATGAATTTAATAGGAGATCACTGCCTCAACCATCAACAATAACCTTTTAATTAACTTGGTATTATCTCATCCTTGATCATCTAGTAATGATGAGATTAACAGTAATTACACCAACTCATTTCAATATAATGAATATTTTAGTATACAACGACGTTTTCATGTAATTGCAGTAATTTTAAAGTTGTAGAAAGCAAGGAGTCACAATCGCAAAGGCAATTAAAGTCAAGCTTTTCACTCATAGGTAGAGAATTATTTGATGAAGCAACTGGCATTGAGTACAACGGCATATGACTGTCCACCATTTTGCTGGTGCTGGCCCCTCTCACATGGCATAATGGCATCAAATTTTCTTTTTCAAATATAATTCTATGTACCAATAAATCATCTTTATTCTTCATATAACCTAGATCGTATACTTCAAATAATAAAATAAAATTCATAACATTTGTTGAACTAATACTATATTTATAAAGGTTATCATAGAAGGAAGGGGTCATGTTGGGAAAGCGGGACCGGCGGCTTTAATCATTCCACAAGAACAAGAAGGAGAAAGAGCTTGTTGGGAGTAAAGTCACAAATGCAATGAGAGGTATTGATGTCACCTCTTTAGCTTTCGATTATTGACTTAGAAGCAAAATATAAGTGAGCTGGTCCCTACGACACTCTGGCATCTCATTATTCTATTTCTCAACTTATACTGCAATTTGAACTTCCAATAGCGTCACACTCACTGCACAATATGATATAAAGGGTTATCTGGACTAAACCTACTAGGCAATTAGCCAATTGCTTTATGATTCATGTCAAGACCTTCCATAATCACATTTGTCTATTGGGTTGGGCCTATCCTTAAATATTGCATTAAATTCTGGACTCACTTAATATCTAAATTAAATTGGACTGTCCAATTTAACCACCACATTATGAGTCAATTCACCCACATTGCCATCTCTGAATTAAAAAAAAAATCAGAAGCAAAACTAGTGCAAATATCTCAGCATGACCATCATTTGAAGAAAAAAAATGAGAAAAGTGAAGAAAATACCATGAAGAGGCTGGGTACCGTTTCCCTTTGCACCCTGCTGTGCTTGAGAAGATGACCGCTGGATACGTGGAGAACCTTGTCTTCCATTTGCAACAGGCAAGGAATGCCGCTTCTTGATGTAGAAGTCTCTGTCTTGGACATCTGGACTTGATCTGGGTGAGTTATTTGCTTGAAGCTTGGCTCTGGCAGATTCTGTGGCTTGCATGAAATGGGGGAGAGAACTGCTACTGCTACTATCTCCTGGTTCTTGGTCAATGTAATCAGTTTTTGTAGAACCAAAGGAACTGCGTCTCTTCCCATTTTTCTGATCTTTTGGCAATTGTTCCGTACTACTTCTTGCACCAGAATCATGATTTGGATTTGATGGAGATCCCTTATTTGCTGACAGGGGCTTACGCTTTCGGTTGGATCCACTCTTTTCTGTTCTGTTGTTTTTAGTTTTCACTGATACCTGGCTTGAAGGTGTTCCTTGGGACTCTGGAACAGTCATATGGCTTCTGGGAGAGGCTTCAGGGGATGACCTGTATGTTTGGCGCCCTGTCTCAGAGTCCGGCACTTTGTGGACATCAGATGAACTACCTTCTGGCTTGTGGACATCAGATGAACTACCTTCTGGCTTGTGGACATCAAATGAACTACCTTCTGGCTTGTGCTCTACAGGTGGAGAATCTACAACTGTAGCTGAAGTAACAGATTCAACTTGGGCCTCATCAACCTTCTCAGGCTGATCCACAACTGAGTGGGACTCATCAGACACTGGGAAGGTAGTTGCACCTTTGACATCCAAGTTATCTGAGTTGGTTGGATCATAAATTTCCTTTCCTGTAACTTTAGCTTCATTCTCATATTCTCTGGTTCCAACTTCAGATCTATCAGGAGAATCAAGAGTGGAAGTAACAGAAAGTTCAGTGCCACATTCAGAGCCACCATAAAACCTTGATACTGAATTTTCTGTCACGTCAAGATCCTTTGTCCTGGTTAAAGTATCTGCTCCGGAAGAAACTGTGTCCACATTTGAATCAACAGAAATATCTTGGTGCACTGAACAGATTGATCTTCCCGAATTTGCTGATAAACTAAGCTCCTCAAATTTTGATAAACTAAGCTCCTCAAATTTTGATTGCGCAGCAATGAATGACGAATTACCTGACTTTCTCGATCCAAATACAAACTTCTTCCCCTCTGTCTCAAGATTGTCAGAGGCCAACCTTTTCATTGAACGTTTAGGTTGTTCACTTTCAATTACAGGGTTACTAGAAAGAGAGTTTAGTTCCTTTTGAGAAGCTTCCTCTGATTGCTTTACTTGATTATGATGAGAATTCATCTCTATTGGGATCTCATTCACATCCGATGTGCTTGTGTTCTCAGGCTGACATAGCTCCATATCATCTCTCAACATAGAAGAAGTTGGCTGGCATGGCTGAAAAACAAAATTGTCTGCATCAGTAGTCATCAGATTTTCTTCACTTTCAGATGGCATAACAGTTTCCCTGGCACTTGACTTTGAGTCCACATCCACTGAATCACATAAAACTTCAGAATGAATAGTTTCTACTGGAGAGGCAAAATTCTCAGTCTTCTCTTTTTCAGGTTGCTCAACTGTTGACTCTGTTTTTGGTGACTGTTTTGTAGCCAAAGCAGACATCCATCTCTCCAACCAGTTCCAAGCAGAATCTGATTTTGCAGGATCACATTTAATGTTGATGGGCTTGGTCTTCGGTGTTGATTCCATTAGCTTTAATCAGAGGGAGGAGTGGAGCAAGAGAGCATCAGTATTGCTGGAATAATTTGCAATAAGGAATGCAACATACACAGCCTACAATGCTTCTGCAAAATTCAGAATATAAATGAAAATTTACTCACCTGACGAGCAAAACTATTGCTATGTAGTTTCTCCATGGAAACGTAGGTTTCATTTGGTTTGGATACCGAATCTTCCTTCTCCTGAAACGATAAAGAATGATTAAGAAAAGTCATATAAAGATGAACAAACAATAACCATTGTTTTCAAAAAATGCATGGAAGGATTCTTTTGTTTAGAGGATTAGACAACATTGGTAATTTTCTTTCAAGAAAGCATACTCTAGAAGTCAAGAACACAGATGAATTTGCATTAGAAACCTAAACTACTGTTATAGTCACCGCCCGCTCATCAAATTACAAAATAAAGCCAATTGTCTGACCAAATTCAACCAGCATTGTACAGAAAAATTTTGCTTCCTCATTAAATATCATCTAATTTGGATAGACTAATTTAAACTCAGTTGCATACTTGCATTAGTGAAGTTTCTGTACTACATGTTACCTTCTTCTCTATACTTGAACTATTTAGAGAAAGACGGGCACGACGAGCACGAACAAGAGCCTGCATTTTAACAATGGCTTGAACACAACGTAGGGTTCCCACAGCATGCCTCCGAACTAAGTGCCCACGAACAGCAGCTTGCAACTTAACTACATTCTTAAGCTTTCGGAGTTCTCTTTTAGCCTAGAAAACAATTTTGAAAATAGGAAAAGTTAAATATGATAATAACTATAAATTCATAAATCACATAATCCAGAAACGAGGACACACCAAGAACCCTCGGACAGCAGCCTGAATGACAGTAACAACAGACTCATCAGCGATGGAATCATGCTTGCTTTCGGTATCAGTGACAACAATGGTCTCAGATACTTTCAATTCCACTGGAGTCGACAGCTGAGGTTTCTCATCAATGCACTGTACCATGGAGATTTTCTCTGGAACACTGGAGTTATTGGGTGGTTGGTAGTTGACATCAGCAGATTCTGGGCTCTCCTTTTTGGCAGATAAAGGGGTTTCTGATATCACAGTGTTGCTTAGCACTCGATGCCTAGCAGATCTCTTTCGAAAACTCCACCCACGTTTGTCATTTGCACCTTTGTTCTGTAAAGATATTCAAATATCAATTAACTCTGTAGGAGAAGCAAATGAAATTGAAATACAACCACCGTCTTTCCCTTAGTGTCCAAATGAGAACTTCACAATGTCTAGCATGTAAAACAAAGCGCATTTCACCTTGAACATATCACAATAGTGTCACTCAAGGAGAACAAGAGAGTAACAATTAGCTAAATGTGAACGGCAGCACCTGAACAATTCATAACTAAATCTATTCAATCTAATATTTCTTGAGAAATGGTACATTTGATTTTGCATTTTTCCATTATGCAAACCATGGAAATCAGAACGTGCTTCAATGCTCCAAGAATCTCAATCATGTGATCACTTTTACAATAACCTCGGTAGTGGATCATACTGTACATGCAAAAGACACATTGGTGGAGTATAGTACAAGACCAGCAGAAAACTAATAATTAAGTCATCAAAAGATTACTTGAAATTATCATCAGCAGGGACGCCAATGGGAGTTATACACACGATCCTCAAGAATTCTGATAACCATCACAATTACAAATACCACACTCCACAATTATCCAATTATACTTTTTCAATCAACAAAAATAACAATAAGTCTGCGTATACATATTAAATAATCTAAGCTAATTCTCCGGTTGGCTGCCAGTAAATCTAAGTAAACGAAAAAACATATTTAACATCACAGTTACTATTTCCACTTCTGTAAAAGTCGTCAACCAGTACTGAGCTGAGCTGAACTTAATCGTTTACTCTGATAAACACTCTATATTAGTCAGATCTTAACATTAACAACTTAAATTATAACAAAACAGCTTTAACGTCGTCTAAACTAAGTAAACCATCAAATGCAAATCGAGACGACATAGAGAAGAAACAGAACTAAGAAAAATGAAAAGTCAAATGAATTGTGAGTAAAGAAAACAACAGTCAGTTAACCAATTAGATACCTCAGCAAAATCAGGATCATCTTTATCAGCTGAGTCGCTACCGCAGGTGATAATTTTCAAACAAGAAGTGGATCTTCCCATTGCTTTTTTCCTTCCGTTTTTTCTTATCTGTTTTTCTCGAACAGTCACACAGACCTTACTCTCTCACTCACTCCCTCCCTCCCTCCCTCTCTCTCTCTCTCTCTCTCTCTCTCTCAATTTCAGACAAGAGACCCTATATTGTTGTGTTGTGCTGTGTTGGAAATTGTAACAAAGACACCACGGGCCTCAACGCACTCCTTAAATGTAGTTCACTCTTGCGTTGGAATCCGCCTCTTAAGAAAGGCTGTTGCGTTGTTTGCCCTGTTCGTTGAGATAGGCGAGGAAAAGCTGTCAGATCTCTCTCTACGCACACCTTTTTTTTTGTTTTATCCTGCCGTTGCTCACAGGACTCGCGATAATTTACGTTCTTTCCACTCGCGTAAATTCCTCGTTTTTATCCATTATGCGACAAGATCTAATTAATATAAATTTGAATCTTATATTATAGATATTAAATTATATTACCTAATAAATAGTAAAAAATGGTACTATATAGTTAAATTATTGCCTTTTGTGTAAAAGACAAAAGGCCAATTAGATTATAGATGGATAAGGCTAAGATTAGCATTATTGATAGCTTGATTTGAACTAATGGTAAAGTTTGATTGCATGATGTGTTTATTGATTACTTATGAAAAAGGGTCCCATATCAAATATGGTGAGAAATTTAATTGATAATTGAGTCCAAATTGAAATATAAAGTTTTGTTTGCTCTTAATTATAAAAAAAGAAAAAAAAATGCATGTTATCGTGAGACACACAACATAATTGAGAAATTGATGAAATGGGGAAAAAGAGAAGGTGAGAGTGGGGCCTTTCATGTGAAGATGATGAAGATTAAGGAATAAAATATATAAAACGGTGTGTTTTAGGGGCAAACGGAGGTTGTCGAGTATCCCTCTGGCAAATAATGTTATGACAACATGGTATCAAACCACTAACCATCCATTGACAGCTCTTTTGTCTTGACACGAAACGTGGCTTTATGGGATTGCTGACACGTAATAGCACGTGGAGTCCACCTCACTGTTAATGGGATGGTTAATTTTCACAAGGGATGCCATGCTTCATTGAAGCAAGTGGGGATGCCTCCCCCCGGCCCTACCCCACATAAAATTAATGCGATTATATTTATGGCCTAACCAAACCAAACCCAGCTCTTATGACCTTAATCATTCTAAATCCAGCAATCTCTATTCCCCAAAACCCCCTTAATTAGTAGTCAAACTATGATTAATTAACTTAATCTTCTCTCTTCTTCTGTGATACACAACAACCCAGTGAATCTATTTAATGAATTTATCACATAGATTTTTAAATGAATTTAATAGGAGATCACTGCCTCAACCATCAACAATAACCTTTTAATTAACTTGCGTATTATCTCATCCTTGATCATCTAGTAATGATGAGATTAACAGTAATTGCACCAACTCACTTCAATATAATGAATATTTTAGTAGTAGTACAACGACGTTTTCATGTAATTGCAGTAATTTTAAAAGCTTGTAGAAAGCAAGGAGTCACAATCACAAAGGCAATTAAAGTCAAGCTTTTCACTCATAGGTAGAGAATTATTTGATGAAGCAACTGGCATTTAGGTACAACAACGGCATATGACTGTCCACCATTTTGCTGGTGCTGGCCCCTCTCACATGGCTATAATGGCATCAAATTTTCTTTTTCATAATATAATTAATCTCTATCTATGTACCAATAAATCACTCTCGTTTCTTCATATAACCTAAGATCGTGTACTTCAAATAATAAAATAAAATTCATAACATTTGTTGAACTAATACTATATATTATAAAGGTTATCATAGAAGGAAGGGGTCATGTTTGGGTAAAAGCGGGACCGGCTGGCTTTAATCTATTCCACCAAGAACAAGAAGGAGAAGAAGCTTGTTGGGAGTAAAGTCACAAATGCATTGAGAGGTATTGATGTCACCTCTTTAGCTTTCGATTATTGACTTTAGAAGCAAAATATAAGTGAGCATGGTCCCTACGACACTCTGGCACTCTATCTTAACCACAAGTTAACATGCATCTCATTATTTCTCAACTTATACTGCAATTTCAACTTCCAATAGCGTCACACTCACTGCACAATATGATATAAATGGTTTGTTTGGACTTAAACCTACTAGGCAATTAGCCAATTACTTTATGATTCATATCAAGACCTTTCATAATCTATTTTGTTTATTGGGTTGGGCCTATGCCTTAAATATTGCATTAAATTTCTGGACTCACTTAAAATCCCAATTAAATTGGACTGTCCAATTTAACTCACCCACATTATGAGTCTAATTCACCCACATTGCCATCCCTGAATTAAATCCAGTTTGGACTCTACTATAAATATTTCTCAAGTGTAAAGGATTTTTTTTTTTCCAACCAAGGTTCACTTTTCTATCAAAAAGTTTCAAAATACTATTTCTCACCCAATGTTTATGTTTCGTTAATACCCAAAATACACTTTACTTTCTCAATCGGCGTTCGACGAGTTACAAAGAGTCTGGGTAAGAGGGTTTTTGTAGAGTGGAGGCCGATGGATCAAATGGTGATGATCGATTGAATATTCGCCATCGAAATCAGTCGAAAATCAAATAAAAACATGAAATCTTAACTTTGTGGTGGTTAACAATCCGTGAGAAATCAGGTGCTAGAGTAAGAGGGGTTTTGTAGAGAGGATATTTGAGGTTTAAATGGTAGTGATAGGAAGAATTTTCGCTACTAGAATCGACTTTGGATAGTAACGAAATATTAACTTTGGGTGGAAAAGTGGTTTATTCTATTTTAAAACTTTTTGGGTGGGATAGTGTCATTAAGGAAAAACTTGGGTGGGAAAAAGTCGTTTACTTCATTTCTTAAGTATACATTTCTTATGATGGATTTTGCTTATTCTAATTAAATGAAAGAGACTGTTAAATTTAATATTTTGATGATCTAAGTAAAATATGATTATTATAATTTCCAAAAAAACGATAACGGCATAATTTAGGATATAACTTTAATACGGAAATCGCATCACCCATCTAACAATTGAAAGGGCCAATATGATTATATAGTTATCGGTAATATATTATTTGCCCCAACGACATCACTATACTAATATAACCATTTTAATTTTATATTTTAAATAACAAAATTGATTATATTACATGCAATAAATGATTTAAGAAAAAGTTAAATATATTATTATATAATTAAATATATAATACTTTCTTTGATCTTCATAAACATGCATGACATTGCCCATATATAAAATATTTGTCCAAAACATAAATTGGTATACTCATTATATATATGCTCATTATTTATGTATAAATACCAGTAATACCACATCTACAATCTTTTTTCATAACCCCAACGTGATAGTTTATTATTGGTTAGCTCGCAAATAGACATATAAAACCTATACAAGCAGACGAGACATATTTTACGAGTTGACCAATGACGAATTATCACGTTGAAAGTTATGAGAGAAGGTTAAAAGATTGAATTATGAATCTAGCATTACTCATATAAATACACTAATATCTAGTTGACACTGTAATCAAACTAAACACACTCACATTCAACTTTAAAAGAAGTAAACAACCATCGCTAATATTATCTTATTTTATAAAAGAATGATTATAAAAAAAAGATAACCCTGTTGAAAAGTAAATTTTATAATTGTGTTTATTATCTATCGACTACATAATATTATTAATGTATTAATTATAGCCATTCACTTATTATTTTAATAGATAATAATTAAACTAATAATAACCATTAAATAAAACAAATTTAATTATACGATAATGTGAAAACGATACATTAACAAATAAATTTGAATGAGTACAAAAGTTTATCAGCCATTGTCACTAACAGTAACATTATACTAACGTTATTTATTTTAATATATCTTTCTTTTTCTCTTTTTCGACTTGTATACGTAACAGGCGTGTCTTCTAGTAGGAAGGATAAATTCTTATACGTGCAAGTAAAACTGTAGAAGAAGTGGAAGTAGCACAACAAATTATGTTAGAAGATAATAGAAGAAAGATTAACATTGACTTAATGAAACTTATTTATAGTTATGATTTAATTTATCCTTGTTGTGATTGTTGTTAAAAAATATGCATAAATCTCGTTCATTATCAACCTCTAATATTAACAGACAAAAATTTAAAGATAACTTTACAAATATTGGTTGTATAACGTGTAATCGATGCTCTATGATCATATTTTACAAAAAAAAAAAAAAAACACGGATATCAACACTTGATGATGTTTGATTTTGACACTAACTATTTGCACGTGTAAAATGCTAAACGGACTTAGAAATCATACATGATATGAGAATATCAAATAAAATAACGGATGAGAGGTGATATTTAAAGTGATTCAGATAATCAAAAACGAATTTTACGTCTATTGCTATTGTATTAATAACATGGTAAAATCAGGTCATACGCAGTAAACTGAGTTACAATTTAGAGAGAATAAAGAGAGAGAGAGAGAGAGAGAGAGAGAGAGAGAGAGAGTGTAAGCTATTTTTAGAGTAAGATTAGCCAATCCCGCAAATGAGAGGAGAAACCTTTATTTATAGTGGGATATTTCCATGTAATAATTATAAATCTGCAAGTGGGTAGGTGCTGTACAAATCTTTTTTTGCGTCCCAATGGTTGCTTATCCGAGAGATATCCACAACTTACATAGGGTTTAGGCACGTGGACGATCTCTAACTACTCGCAAGACTAATACTTACTGATAGGAGCCATACCACTTGCGCTATTGTGCGGCATAGCAGCGCGCAGGTGGCATAAAACCTTCTTGAGCCCTGGATGTTGACCCTGTGCCTTACCTTTTTAGGCATAACATCACCTAATAAATTAACCTTTTGATTGGCACTTTCTATCTGGAAGGAATCTCATAGATAACTTATAAGAGTTAGGCAGATAGATAGCTTGAGTGCCGTTCTTGACAACAGTCAGAGTAAATGGATATAAAAAATTGCTCCCGAATCCTTTACCCGAACAGAGGTAAAGAAGTTATAGTAATATAGTCTTTTTCTGTTATTGCATGCTTTTTCAGCAAAATGGCTTTGCTTATCATCCTTGTATTATCTCTCCCAATACTTCTATTGCTTCTTCAGAGACACAGAAAGAGCAAAAGTGTTCGTTCCCCACCTGGTCCTAGAGGTCTTCCTTTGATTGGTAACATACATCAGTTCGATATTTCAAACACTCTTCGGTACCTGTGGAACCTATCTAAACAATATGGCCCCCTCGTGTTCTTGCGTCTTGGTTTTGTATCAGTCCTTGTAGTTTCCTCCGCAAAGATGGCTAAAGAGGTCTTAAAAACACACGATCTTACATTTTCAGGCAGACCTAATTTGCTAGGCCAGCAAACCTTATCTTACAATTTCTTAGATTTGGCTTTTTCACCATATAATGCTTATTGGAGAGAGATGAGGAAAGTTTGTGTTATTCATCTCTTTAACTCTATAAGGGTTCAACTATTTCGTCCCGTTCGAGAAGATGAGGTTTATCGGATGATTAAAAAAATATCAAAATCAGCTGATGCTTCTCAACCCATCAACTTAAGTGAGGTGACGATGTCTCTTACAAGCACAATTATCTGTAGACTTGGTTTTGGCAAGAGGTATGAAGATGAAGGAGGCGAAAAAAGCAGATTTAGTGCACTACATAAAGAAACTCAGGTAATGTTAGGAAGCTTCTTTTTTGCAGATCATTTTCCTTTCCTGGGTTGGGTTGACAAACTCACGGGAATGAGGCGTCGCCTTGAAAAAAACTTTGAGGAATGTGATAAGTTTTATCAAGAACTCATTGAAGAGCATCTAGATCCAAAGAGACCAAAAAATGAGCAAGAGGATATAATTGATGTTTTACTTCAAATCAAGAGAGATCGCGAGATTAAAGTAGATCTTACGTATGAACACATCAAAGCAATACTCATGGTAATCAATTTTAACTTATCGATCAGCTTTATTTACTTGTATGTGTACTATTATATCTTCAAAGTACTTAATGATTATTCCATGCATCGATAGTTTACTAGTTATCCTTTCTTTTTATGCAGAACGTATTTGTTGGTGGCACAGACGCTATTGCAGCATCTGTGGTTTGGGCCATGACCAACCTAACGAAGAATCCTAGAACAATGAAGAAGGCTCAAGAAGAAATTAGAAATATAATTGGAAAAAAAGGTTTTGTTGATGAAGATGATGTTGAGAAACTCCCTTATCTTAAAGCAGTAGTGAAAGAGACATTGAGATTGGAACCAGCAGCTCCATTAATCCCAAGAGAAACAACAGAAAAGTGTATTGTGAATGGGTATGAAATACAAGCTAAAACACTTGTTTTCGTGAATGCATGGGCAGTAGGAAGGGACCCTGAAGCCTGGGATAACCCAGAAGAATTTAATCCTGATAGATTCATTGGCAGCTGTCTTGAAATGCAAGGACAAAATTTTGAGCTAATACCATTTGGTAGCGGCAGAAGAATTTGTCCAGGGATTCACATGGGAATAGTAAGTGTGGAGCTTGCACTTGCTAATCTTCTTTATCACTTTGACTGGGAAATGCCAGCTGGAATGAAGAATGAAGACTTAGATTTTGATGTTCTACCAGGTATTACCATGCACAAGAAGAATCCTCTTCGCCTTGTGCCTAGGAAATACATGTAATATGAAAAGGCAAAGGGATGAATGAAAAAGTCTTCAATGCCAACTATATTATATTATAATAAATCAGGTTTTTCTTTTTTTCAGTTTTCTGGTTAGGTTATAACTTGGTCAACCCGGATTGCAATAAATAAAAGCTTGTGGATATAGAGGGGCTTGAGTTTTATACAGTTGGTTGCCTTATATTCATTTGTTTTTTTTCATCTAGGCTTTAGCTGGACACAATTTTATTCAGATTAAACAAACAATATGAAACCTCTTCAAGCTTGTCCCCACAATTGGGATTACGTTTATCAGCTTATCTTGAAATCCACTAAACTTTTGTTTGATTGGTCCCATGAAGCGTATTTGATGTAAACAACTTTTGAATTTAGTATATATATGCATTGATCATCTTCTCATGTTGCTCGAAAATCCTGCACTAATTTTTATTTATTTATTTATTTTTTTGGGCAAATAGATAATTGTATAGAAATAATGAAACAAATACAACTTAGAAGAGGGGACTCCCCTTCAATCTAAAGCAACAAACTTGGACAGGCTCAAGTGTCCATCAAAAAACCAAGAGACATAAGGATATACAATTCTTTACAATCAAACCCAGAACAAAAACCAGGCCTTGACAAAAATAAAAGTAAAAAACAATCCCACCCAACAACAATCCTACACCCACGCATACTCTGATCACTATTAGAAACCAAATGTCATCCCCTGAAAACTTCATCGAAGATGCTCTTAATAGTCACTCACACGACTCTAGTTTCCAGAATTGCACACAAAGCAAGTTGCCTCTTCATAATATAAAACACGAACCTCTTTCTGCTTAGAGGGCTGGTTGAGTTCCCTAATAATCCAAGAGGCAACTGAGAAAAGGATTTATATATACAACATAAGTTTAGTAGACCATTCAAATCCATGGCTTTGCGGAATCAGTTAAAAAATATGAAATCGTTATAAATTTGATACTGGAGTCAGATTATTCATATGAACTATTGGATTGATCCATTATTTTTTTTGAAAGTCTCAAATGACTCACATAATTTAGGTTATAAAGTTGAAACTGTACCTTAGCATGATACCCCTACCCATGAATGCTAAGGTGCAGTATCCCATTATTTTATGTTATTCACATGGAAATAGAATTTTAAAGGATTCCTTAATACTGGGGTCATATTAGGCATGTGAACTTAATTCGGATTTTCCCATCCTTCTTTTTGATGGTTTCCTATGACTTAAGTTATTAGTTTATTACACTGCTCAGTGCTCATACATTAAAATGTTACACTAAATATTTCACCCAATCTCGAAAAGTGAAACTAAAACTGATTTGTGGCGTTCTTTTTTCTCTTCTTTTGTCTTCTTTAATTTTTATTTTTGATGTAATATTCAGGCCAAACCTGGTTTTGTTGTTGATAGAGGGCTTTAACTTAATCATCCTCTACCTCCAATCAATTATACAAGATGATTAAGGTGATTTGAGACCCCTAGGTCTTGTATAAATCACATCAATAATTTCATACAAACAAAACAGTTGTGTAAACGATGGCTCCGTTTGGCTTATTATTTCTACCTATATTCCCAATCCTATTCCCCAAATATTGTTTGGTATATTATTTGAGAAATATTAGTATATTTTTTAATTATTTTAAACCTCTTAAGTTTATTAATTTCATTAAATATCCTCAGAAAAAAGTTTAAAAATTAACAAAAACACCCCCACCCACCAATACTTGCCAAATTCTGGCAACCACCGTCGGTGGTAGCCGAAATCTATCACAACGGTCTACACCACCACCGGAAATGGCCGGTAATTCACTAATCTGGCATTTTCTGGCCAGATTTGGCCGTCGCAAAGAAATGGCCTTTGCTAACGGTCAACGGCGGCCAAATCTTGGCCATCGTTGACAGACAACGATGGTCATATCTTTGGCTGTCAGGACATTTGCGACCATCAACTGCCAGATATGGCATTTTCTGACTAGATTCATGATGGATCTGGACGGAAAAGGCCATATCAACGCCCTACCTGCCAAATCTGATCGGTCTGTGGTGTAACGCAATTTTCCGACCAGATTCTGACGATGGTGGTCAGAATCTAGCACTACGGGTAGTGGGGGTGTTTTTGTCATTTTACAAATTTTTTATATATTGGAGTGTTTAGTTAAATTAGCAAACCTATGAGGTTTTTTAAAATTTTTAAATTTTACCTTGTAATACTCCCCTATTTAATTATTCAATATTATTCTCAAAATCCAATCTAAAATAATAAAACAAACGCACCCGATGTTTTTATCTAATAATTTGACAATAATTATTTCGTGAGAGTAGATGAATTATATAAAAGATTAAATTATTCTTTTATAAACATAGCCTTGACCTTGTGTTAAATTATTCCTATTTTGTTTATATAAATGTTTCAGGCGGCACTCTTATTTTTCAGGGAATTATGAAGAAGAATTGATAAAAACAGGCAAACAACTCGAGCAAATTACAGTAGATTTCAAGTAAAAATTCCTAATTTCAGACGGGTAGTCAAACTAACACTACGACTAAAACTGGCCTACGGGTTTTATCAGATAGTTGTGTTAAACAAGTTTTCTTCATTCTGCATATAAAATAATGAAATTTGACGTCCGTGAAAGCTTATGTCGATTGTCTTATTAATTATTATCTCTCATTTTGAGTTGTTAAATTTCTTTTTTTTTTTTTTTTTGGTAATTAAGCTTTCAATAAAAAGAGAAAAAGAATGTACAAAGAGACTTATAAAGATGATTAGCTCCACAGGACAAACCCCTAAAATATGATAAAAAGCAAAAGTCTAATCAAGATAAAAGAGTTATACAAAACATTATCTCTCAGTGTATATCTTACCACAGAATAAATCCTGAGTTAAGACAAAAATAAAACCTATATAAGATTATCTTTAAAACATACATAAGATAACCACCACCAAAACAAAGCCAACCAACAAAAATTTACCCTTTAAAAATGCACACAGGTAATTTCATTTTATGTGTTGCGTGGTCGGTAGGCGATAGGCATTAGTCACCGCACAACTGAGGACGACATTATACTACAAGACCAAAAATGAGCAGGGTTAATTCTATTGCATACTGGATCTTTCATTTGAAAAGCCGAAAAGGACGAAGCACCGACGCATATTGGTATTTAATTTTCGCTATGTTGTCACGTATCATGTGAGGTGGGGTTTAGTGAAGTGACATTGTGAAATTTGTACAATCTAATTTCTGGTGAATTTCGATATGAGGAAAAAGTTTAGGATGAACGTAATGGTTTATCTTTATATTCCCATGTGTGCATATATTGATTAAGAGATCCTGTACCATTTATACCAACAATATTCTGACCGAATTATTTGGTGAGGCTCCTCTATATTCATCTTCATCCTTTATATGATAATCCTCACCAATCTAAATCCATGTCTTCACCCTTTATTACCATCGGCATTTCCCAATTAAATTTGTAAAGCAGATTAGCAAGTGAAAGATCCACAGTTGCAATTCTCATGAGCATCCCTGGACAAATTCTTCGGCCGGCGCCAAATGGTATTAGCTCATAGTGTTGTCCTTTCAAGTCAATACAACTGCCAACGAATCTATCAGGATCAAATTCTTCCGGATTATTCCACGCTTCAGGATCTCTCCCTATTGTCCATGCATTCACATAAACCAGTGTTTTAGCTGCTATTTCATATCTATCTATGATGCATTCTGCCGTAGTTTCTCTTGGAACCAGTAATGGGGCTATCGGTTGCAATCTCATTGTCTCTTTCACTATGGCTTTAAGATGCGGCAGTTTCGGGGTGTCATCTTCATCTACAAAACCTTTAGTTCCAATTAAGGATCTAATTTCTTCTTGACCTTTCTCCATTGATCTAGGATTCTTCATTAGATGTGTCAGGGCCCAAACCACGGCAGCTGCACTCGTGTTTGTGAATTGTGCCATCGAAGCTGATATCTAATACCCGTGTGTATATATATAAACTCAGACAGTAAGTGACCATAAGTACGGCTTTGATGTAATTCCAAGTGAGATCAAATTTAAATCTGCCATCCTTTTGAGGTTTTAATTAATAAAGTATCAATAATATCTTCTTGTGGATCAGTTTTCGGTCTCTAGGGATCTGCTGAAAAAATAAATTCTATAATTGTGTTTATTTCTTACAACTAATACAAAATAGAAAAAGTTTATTTATCTTTTTCTTTCTCCAACTCACTTACAATTGAAATATGGAGAGGAGACATATATATACTAGTTTAAATTACCTACATACCACGTAATATTATTAGCCTAAATTTCATTATTAATTTTTGTTTAAAAAAAAAAAAGATTTTTATAATTAATTTGTCGTCATATTCATATACATGAAAAAAAACATGTCTAATACAATTGAAGAGGTACTTTCGCATTTAGAGGGGTATTAGCGTTAGTGTAATAGTTGTTGACCTTCTTAACACATTATCATATTTCTATATATTAGGGTGCATTTGGTTCATCATTTTCGATATGATTTCGGAAATAATTTTGGGTAGTTGGATAGGAGAGTATTACGATGTAAAATTTAAAAATTTATAAAAAAACCCCAAGGTTTACTAATTTAATTAAACACCCCAATATGTAAAATGATAAAAATATCCCCACCACCCGTAATGCCAGATTCCGGCCACCACCGTCACAATCTGGCCGAAAAATTTTGTTACGACATAGACCAGTCGGATTTGTGTCGTAACGCGTCGCTATGGCCTTTTCCGGCCAGATCCACCATGGATCTGGCTGGAAAAGGCCAGATCTACGCCCAAATGTGGTTGTCGATAGCCGCAAAGATCCATCTTTGGCCGTCAGTGACGGCCAAAGATATGGCCGTCGTTTTCGGTCAACGATGGCCAAGTTTTGACGTCGCTTATGGCTAGATCGGTGAATAACCGATCAGTTTTGGGCTTGGTTTAAGCCGTTGTGACAGATTCCAACTACCACCGACTGTGGTTACCGGAATCTGGCAAGTATGGGTGGGTGGGGGTGTTTTTACTAATTTTTAAACTTTTTTGGGGGGTATTTAGTGAAATTAATAACTTAAGGGGCCTAAAAGTAATTAAAAAATTCACTAATATTTCTGGAATAATGTGCCAAACAATATTTTGAGAATAGGATTGAGAATATGGGTAGAAATACTGAACCAAACATACCCTTAATTTTTGTTCAATGTGATTGTATTGAGAGGAGGATCAATGACCTTCGCCATTTGCGAGTGATGCCAACAATACTCTTCTTTGCACTTAATATCACTACAAGAAAAATGGTATTTGGGGTGTATCGAAAATAGATGCTAATAGTCAAATTTAGACGTTGATTGTTTATTGCGTCTAAAATTCTTAGTCGCCAGCTAGTTGCAAAATCGCTGTCCCAGAAAGTATCTGCGACTAGAAACATGGTTAGACACCAATACTTTTCCTTTAACGACCAGCAATTTAGTTACTAATTGTCTTAGAAAATAGTCCCCTGAATTACATGCCAAATGAATAAGGGTAATTATAGCTTTTAGTGACTAAAAAATGGATAGTAATTCTAAAAAAGTTGACGCCAAATGCTTAACGGTAATGTAGTAAAAGCATTTCACAACAACTTTTTTAGTTGCAAAATGCCTCTTTTAGTGACTAAAACTTCAATGGTGATTTCCAAAAATTTTAGTCGGTGAATGTTGAATCAAATATTATAATTTCTTTTCTACAACCATTAAATTAGTTTCAGAAAGTGCATTTTAACGACTAAATTATCAGTAGCGAAAACAGCTCAATTTTAGTTGCTAAAAGTGTTTGGCCAATTTGCTTTCTTTGATTTTGCAACTAATCATTTGGTTAGGAAAATAGATTTTTCTGCATCTAAGTTGTAACGCTCCGCTTGAGGTACGTAGTTAAGATTTGTTTTATTACTTAAATGTTCATTGATCTAGCTTCAATTGAGTTTGTATGTTGGTAGTTTTGGTCGAAATTGGTTGAGATTTGAGGAATCTTGGTAGTACAGTCTTCGCCGGGGTGAAGAATAGTCTTCGCCGCGACGACGTCAGCTCTGTGTTGCGATGTTGATTCTATAATTTTTCACCAGGGCGACGAAACTTTCTTGGCCGCGGCGACGAGATAGCCGAAAAGTTTTCTTGAGGTTTCTAGAGCATTCTCCATAGGGAGAAAATGACTCTTCTACCCCTAATTAGCAGGAAAAGTGGGAAGTAAAATGTAAGAAAATTTAGTAGAGCATGTGTTGGAGTTGGGGGTGTGTTTGTAATAAATTAAAGTACAAAGATGGAATTTTCAAGGAAGAGCAAGGGTAAAATGGGAATGTTTGTTTGTAAATTGAGCTAACAAAGAATTATCCCTTCATTTCACCCATTTTCCATCGCCATTCTCATTCTCTACTTCCTTCCAATCCTCCATTCAATTTTCCAGGATTTCTAAGGAGTTTTAGGGAGCTTTTGGGGTAATTTAGCAGAGTTTGAATCTAAAGCATCCTAAGGTAAGGATTCTTGCTTTAGATGTGAGTTTGCTTATAGTTGTATTGAAGTCTAATATTGTTGTTATTGTTATAGTTGTAGAGAGATGACAAGACAACAAGGGAAATTAGAAGTGTTAGAGAAGTCACTTACCCACAAAGTAAGTAAATCCAACTCAAGTTGAGATTTAAGGAGATTTATGTATGTATGTGTATATATTATGTCTACTGAGAAATTATGATGAGATTGATGGTTATTTCTATTTATTGTTGTATATACTTGAGTTATGAGAAGAGTTGAGATGTTATGATGTTGAGTTGAGATTGAGTTGAGTTTGGTGGAAGTTGGAGAGAGTTTTGAGCCAAATCCTCTGGGAGTGTCTTTCTTTGATAGGAACTTAGAGAGTATGAGGGAGTTTCTCCCATTTTGGGATGATTAAATAGGGGAGAAGAGTTATAGAGCAAGTAGAGTTTTATATGCACATGAGTTGTATGATGAAATGCTTGAGTAAGACATTGGTAAGAGTAGAGAACCTTAATTATTGCTACATGGCATAATTGCATTACATGAGTGCATTAATGAGCATGATTCATCCATATGCATTAATTGCATTAGAGAAAGAGAATAGAGAAAGTGCATTATTTGCATTAAAGAAAGAGAGTAGAGAACTTTGAGTGTGAGTTTCATTAAGAGAAAAGAGAGAAAAAGAGCATAGAGTAGGTTATGCGATGGGGAACCCGTGAGTAATAGGTAGCGTATTCCCGTATGTACATCGTAAAGAGAGAGAGCGGCTTGAGTATGAGAGAGAAAAATGGTGTAGCCCGTGAGAGTATATACGGATGAGAGCTATACCCGAGAGTACCCGAGAGAGAGTGTATACACTCACATGGCCAAGGGTTCCGAATCTATGCATAACCAAGTCCGATCGAAGAAGAATGAGTAGAAGTCACGTAGAGCGGGAGCGAGTCCCGGCCGTGTCTCTGGTAAGATGAGGCCGTGACTACTAAAGAGAGTTAGTAGAAAAGAGTTATGAGAAAGGAAAAATAGAGAGAAGTACAACAGAAAGAGTAAATGAGCATTATAAGAAAAGAATTAGAGAGAGAGTTACGGGGTTAGATGAGTAGAGGATTTACTTATTGAGCATTGTTTTAGTGCTCACCCCGTTGTTTCCTATGTTTTGCAGGATCTAGGTGAAGACACAGTCGGATGGACGTCGGCAAGCGATGAGAAATGGCTACATTGTCCACTTTGTTTTTGATAGTTTTGTACATGATACAAATTTTGCATAAAGAATGTATATGTTTAATGAAAGAAAAAGGTAAGCGATGAGAAATGGCTACACTGTTCACCTTGTTTTTGATAGTTTTGTACATGATACAAATTTTGCTTAAAGAATGTATATGTTTAATGAAAGAAAAATTTGGGCCCAATTTTTTATACTATTTTATACGTATTTTGATATATACATGTTTTATAAGTATTTGAGTAGAAAGCAGCTATTACATAAGTGGTATATATAGTTGGCCATAGTATATGAGATTTGGAAACTAAGGGTCCGTTTGGTTCATTATTCTGATAGTTTTTAGAATATATTTTGAAAAAATTTAAATTGGGTGGGTATTACGATGCAGAATTTGAAAATTAACAAAAATACCCTCTATGTTTGTTTATTTACTAAACACCCCTATAATAAAATATTTAAAGATAACAAAAACACCCCCAACCTACTCATTAAATACGGACATCCGACCACCACCGCTAGAGGGTGGCCAGAGTCGTCATATCGACGCATAACCAATTGGATCTTGCCGGTCGTGCTCCGATATGGCATTTTTCGACCAGATTCACGGTGGATCTGACCCAAAAAGACCAAATCTACGGCTAGATCTAACAATTGACGACCAGATCTGGCCGCATTTGGTCATCAACGACGGCCAAAGATAAGACCGTCGTTGATGGTCAACGACGACCATATCTTGACTGTCGTTGACAACTGTCTACGGCCAAAGATCTGACCTTTTTCGATCAGATCCACCGTGGATCTGGCTAGAAAAGACTAGATGATTCAGCCAATAGTGCGTCATTACACCAGATTCTGGCTAGCTTCCAACAGTGGTGACCAAAATCTGGTAAATGTGGGTTGCTAAGGTGTTTTTGTCAATTTTAAAAAAAAAAATTAGGGTTGTTTAGTTAAATTAACAAATTTAGGAGTTTAAAAGAAATTAAATAATTTAGAATAATATTTTGAGAATAAGTAAACCAAACACAAATTTTTTATTTAACTTTATTGAGAATAGTTTTCCAAAACTATGTACCTGAGCCTAAGTTTTTTAGTAAGTAATAATTGATTACTCCAAGATTGTTTATTATTTCTACAACTAAAACTTTAGTGGCAAATAGGATTACATTTAAGAGTAATGTTGCTGCTCCTTATAATTCACCTGGTGAACACATTGAACATCAA